CTCTAATACTAAAACTACTAGCCCGAAAAATTTCGTTTCGGTATCAAACGAAAGAAGAAACTTTTTGCTATACTATGCAAATCAAAATCCCGGTCCCAGAGTCTTGTCAAGGCGAGACTTTCGTTTCTAAAGACGCTGGGTTGGCGCGGGCGGTTCCGGGCGAGCCAGGGTGGAGCGCGTAAGGGAATTCCCGGGCGATCCCGGGCGAGTTAGGGTGTAATGTGTTAAGTACCTAACATTTTCTTTTTTTTTTTTTTTAAAGAAAAACAAGCTATAGTCATTTCAACTACAGAAAAATTAAGAACAAAAGAAGTCAAATATGCAGTTAGTTCTTTATTTAATGAGTTTTTGTTCTTTGGTTACCTGAATGAACACTTGCGGGGCAGATGGACGTCACATATATTTGCAGCAAGGGAGACAAACATGTTTGTGTAGCCCAGGGCAGACTGGATTCCATAGCTGGGGTTGCCCACAGGCACCTTGTCTGGGTTCTCTGAGGCATATCTGTTTGTCATCACTGTGAAAATTAGAAAAGCACTCTCTTAGCTTTCGGCAAATCAGTTTATGAAAACGAAATATTTTAAGAACCATCTCTTGAACTTGTTTCTCAGGTCACAAGAAATAAGTCAGTGCCAGTTTCACTTTAGAGAGCATTAGAACATAATATAGACAACAAAACACCAGGAGAGAAAAAAAGATAAATATGCACAAAGTGTGATCTATCATATGGAATAATCCGAAAACTGCCTAAATTAATACAGAAACATGAATTGAAATAACAAGAGATGGCTAAAGTGCAGATAAATTGTCATTGCAGAAATATCTCACACAAAGTAGACTCCTTGTTTCTGTTTTTGGGTACCTTTTCAGATCAAAACAGGTTTGTGAAATGACACATCAGTTAAGACAAATAGCGATATGAAATTACCAAATAAGCCAAGAGCTGAAGAATCACCACTGTACTCAGGCAACGTGGACTGAATCACCATACAGTGGTTTTCTCCCCTGAGATCCACATGCACCCAGCGGCCGGCAATGAATGCCGTTTCACTTGCATCTTTCAGGGCAGTGGCCATACTCATCTCCAAATTGCTGCTGCTACAAAGCACAACGTGTGGAAGAAGGATGAACAATTAAGAATGAAGAAAAAAAAAAGCACAGCAAAAGTCACAAACTAGTATCAACAAATAGGCCCTACTTATCTCTCAGTTTATGTTCTTTTACTTTCGTTTCCAGCAGATCAGCTCCTTATACAAATAATATGCATCAGTATAATGTCACCTGAACAGCAAACATTAGCTCTCAATTTACAAGGTAAAGGAAAGAATTTGAGACGAAGTGTCACCCCTGAGAATTACAACTTTTTTAGTTTAGGTTTAGAAAACTACCATACAGATGTTCTTTTTGAAGACTGAAACCTAAAACACATTCAATGATTGAAACTTGAGATTACTGAAAGTCTTGCTTGTAGTTTGACAACTTAATTATGAAAGGCACAAGCCTATAAATATTCAGTCCTCACCTTGGCACAAATATTTCCTTTATGGGAAAAATCCTTTGAGACATGCACTGAATGAAAGCCCTTCTCTGGGTAGCTAAATACTGATTGTACAACTGCAGTTCCTGCCACAGCACCGGCACCGATTTGGGGTCTATACTGGTCCCTTCCTGCAGCTGGCCCGAGGGTCTCCTCTGGCGTGGAATGTTCGTGGCTGCCAGCGCTATCAGCTGCTGCACGTTCAGGTCCCTGTCAAAGCGGACCCTCAGCACGTCGAGGACAGTAGGCAAGCTCTGAGTGTCTGGATCGGACAAGTTTGTGATCCTGAGCTTCAAGTTGGGCAGCGTCTCTTGCTGGTCCAGATCCAGCTTTGCCCTGAGATTCCTCCGCCTCTTCTTGTTCTGCGACACCACAATCCGTTCTGGTGACAAAGACATGGTCGAGGTTTAGCTTCCGATTCATGCATTTCGACAAAAGTAGAAAGAAGCTCCCTTATGAGCTGGAAAGATATAGTACATAGAACAAGAATAATTTTTTCAGTCTTTTTGCATCGACACATGCATAAAATTCAAAATAAAGAAAATTTGGAGAGGAAGACAGCATTGAGTTTGACTTTTCAAAGCTACATCTACCAAGCCCAAAGCCAGTAGCCACCAGGCCAACATGTGCACACCTATCTCCACATTTCATGAAACACAAGGTTGAAAAAAGCTGGAGGAGCTAGCACCATCAAAATATTGTGGAATAAAAGACAGATGGACAGATACAACACAGGTGCTCCAACCACCCATGCATCAAACATTACAAACAGAGACTTTCTTTTCATAGACTTCTTCTTTCACTTCTGTAAGACATTTTTATTTCAGCTGTATGTATGCTTGTGAGTGAAAAGTGAAGTAGATGTTTTGTGAGCAGGTCAGCAAAAATCAGAATTCAATCACCTGACATATTTTGAAGATTTCTCTCCCCATTGTGCCTCAAACTTTAGTATCTTTACAGACTAAGGTGAGCATTTAGAAACAGTTATTGCCTGTCTACACAAGTAAATCATAAGAACACAAAATTAACCGTTTGACAAATAATTGCATTGACACAGAACTTTAACCTCAGGTTACCACTGTTCAAGAGTGTAATGTCAAGAAGAAAATTACTGCATATATGTCAAGCCAATTTTCCCATTTATATTACGTGCAGGGTAATGCAAGCACTTAGTCAAAAATTCTTTGTCAGAGCAGAATTAAAATATCTAACAAATACACAGAAGAAATTAACATTGTCCATACCTGTAATGCATTTTGACTTAGTATCTGCTATGGCCTTTTTTAGAAGAACAATATTTTTCTTTGCTGATTCTATTTCTGTTCGCTGCAGACAAAAAATAAAAATTCTGTCATTATGACATTGATCATCAGCACAAACACACAAAAAGTCATGATGATAGCATATAAAGACCTATCAACCCATGGACGACTTAAAATAGAAGAATTTCTCAAAATCCTCTTATGTATATGAGCACAGTTTACGACAAAAATAAGAGTCACCTCACATCGAGTTCAGTAGTCAATTAAGATCACAAAATAAATTTACAAAGTTAAGATACCCAACAAAATAAGCCTGTGATGCAGACACAAATTATATTTTTTTTAAAGATTTTCACTCGCATAGAATCTTAAGTGTGTATTTCCATATCTTTAAGGTCAATGACATATAAATGGTTTGATGGCCGTGAAAAAAAAAGGATAATTTTATTTTCTATTAATGCAACAAAAAAACCCGCCAAAAAACATTGATTTTTCCAGAGCACCTGAAGGGTATTTTGTTTCTTTGTTTTAGTAGAGGTTTTACTGCGCTCGCAACTGCATAAGGCCATATGAGCGCTAGAAAATTAGAGGTGTTACAAGAGAGTAACAAACATAAAAAAGAAGAAGGGGAGATTTAATAAGGACGATAGATGTTTGATAGGAAAGAAGGAGCAAACCACACCAGAGCACCCGCCAACCACCCACCCTGAAGGGTATGTGAATGCAATACTACAGTAAAACTGATGAAGATACAACGTAAAATGTCATCAGTTTTATAAAGACACATGTTACTGTGAGTCAGCACAGTAATGATCCCATTTTGAGAGAAGCAAATTAAAATATAACTGCTGCACAGAAAACAAGCAAAGAAGCCTTTTTTTTTCCCAAAGCACATATCATCAGTATGCGATTGTATTGTATATTGTACCTAAGATGGTGATGGTGGAAACTAAAAGTTATGATGAAGATGAACAAAGGACAAGTGATGACGACATCAAGTTGAACAATAAAATAAAAACAACAACTTTGAGAAACATTTTGTTGCATATGTCATAACAGCAAGCTGAATCTCACAATCTTCTCATTCTAATATGATTACCTTTGCATTCACCCTACATAGTCCTTCCACATGTGATTCAAATCTGCAATAAAAAGAAACAATAAATCAATAAAATGTTTCATCTTTTTATTTTTAGCAAAAAACATTGAAAACTAAACATAAAATCACAAACCAATTACTAAAACTAACATAAAATCACAAAGCTATTACTAAAGTCCAAATTTCACATAAGAAAAGAGAGAGATAGAGATAGAGAGAGAGAGAGAGAGAGAGAGAGAGAGGGGGGGGGGGGAGAGAGAGACCAGACCATCAATGATTTATTTATAGAGGCACCAGCCATCCAGAAAGAGAAAGACAGACAGACAAGACAGACAGACAGACAGAGAAGGGCATATATATATTATTTTGAGTCTTTACACTTTTCCTTTCACAGGAGTAACACTGGGTACTCTAAAAAGTAGGTACAGTTTTATTATTAAAAACATTTTGATGCCTCAATTAGTGTTCACAGCACCCACATACAAATCAAAGCTGCTTTTTCTGTTGACACTGAATGTCTTGGCAACAAAAGAACTTACAATAGCGTCCACTGGCGGCAAAAATAAACAATATGTGTGTAATAACATGTACCTCTGTGGAAAAACTCACTCTCACTGCAGCTGCTTATGTCGTATTCCTAAGTATGGTAAACCCATCTCTTTTTCTCATGTTCTTCATAAAGGACAATGTCTTTTATAAACAAACTTTAGATCACTAAAATCCTTTGAAAAGTGAATGTTCTTAGTGAACACTGTGTAGAGGGTACATTTTCAGCCGCATATGTTATACCAACTGTGTTTCTCATCATCTTGCTACACACCATAGCTTAAATGTGTCACGACGCGGTGGAATCAAGCTCTCGTCAATTTTTGGGCATGTAGAGTTATTGGTGCATCATCTTAAAGCTTGCTTATTTGTCTTGCTTTGGACAAAATTAAAAAAACCCATTTATCTTGAACACAAATCGAGATACTTGCGAATGAAGGAGGTGGGAGTCACCTGGTTTCAGAGGTAAAATTAGTGAGAAAATGGTCGCCAAAGATTAGCTATTTCCTTAGCTTGAGAGCCCTTGAAAACTGAAAATGTACATTTTTTGTGCCTTTAACACTTTCAGTACTGCGAGCCTCTCACGGACGTGGCCTCGCTCGACCGAGAGTCGGGCTCGCTATCTATTCCAATCCAGTAATGAAAAGGCACGAAATTCTCGGCCGATCCATGTTTTCGAAATAATAGAATAGACTTCCTGTTAGCTGATATGAAAGAAAATATAGCACTGACAGACAATTTTTAGTCATTACAGCGCTTTTTTCTGTCCCATTCGAAACGTAAAAATGACCAGAAAAGTGCTCTCCTGATTTCAGTATATATATGTCTCATATTTTCACTTCTATAATAGGTACATATACATAACTTTCAGCATTTCTTTGCATTGCTTGAAGCAACCTACCTGGGAAGTTTGAATGATGCTGTTGTTGTACTTTTTTAAGATGACCCTTTAAAGCTGGAAAATTGTTGATTTCAAACGACGCCTTCGATACTGCATAATCACTTTTAGAAACCCCAAACTAATTATATAATCGGAATAAATCTTCATTGTACCACCATCTGATAGATATTTTTTAACTTTCAGTTGATGAGCCATATGATATGGTTTGTGTGTGTTTAGTTGGATGTTTTGGCATTTTCCTTTATAGGTAGGGGCGTAAAAATAGGACAGGGAACCCGGAAAAGCCCTGGGCCATAGGTGGATTTTGGCTTGGTAAGAAAAGAGTAAATCAACGTTTTTCAGTAAAATCCACACTGAAATATGTTCTTTAATTTGCATGAAAGGTGTAGAGCCAACAAACAAAAATTAGACAAAAATTCACAAACCTGTAGAAAAATGCCAGTTTCATCACTTTGATTATTTTGACAAGCGTCTGATTTTACTAAGCTGCCTCACAAATGCTTTTTGGCTTTGAGCAAAGGGGTAGCAACAACAGATGTGGTTATTGCGTTGTGACATCATACACATGTGCTTCTCTCACAGTTCCATTGAGGTAATATGTCCTGTAGACCTGTTGAGCTTTGATCAGCTCTATCTCATTGCATTTTGATGTTATTATCATTCATGTTAAAACTGACGATATACACACCAAAAAAACCAATCAATACATAGCCGTCGCATTCAAGCAGCCGGGGGATAAAAAAGCACTTCCATACAAGACTATTTACGTTTGAGTTCAACTCAACATAGCGTTTGACTTTCAGAATAACCCATGTCTCGCTATTCTCACCCCCTCTTTTTACCGGAGAAGACACTAGAAGGATCAGGGCTGAGGTTAGCGGACATGACCCTGGGGGGGGGGGGGGGGGGGGGGGAAGGAGGGGTGGATGCTTTCATATCAAGGCTCTCTGGCTCTTTTTTCTTGGCTCCAAACTCCAAATGTTCAAGAAGAAATGGAAAGAAGAGGCAAGAAAAAGAAAAAAAGAAATTAAAGTGAAGAAAAGAGCTTGGATTGCTTAATTATTAAACTAGTTAACACGATTTGACGTCCTCGTCCATTTGGTCTGAATGATTTACAACCTTTCTACCATCGTGCATGAGCATATTTATTGTCTCGTGCTCCGTTACGTTCGTACACGCTCTCTGTTCCTTGAACCATAATTTATGGTATGCAGGCAGAGAGGCCTGCCATCGTTAAGTGTGTAAACAACAAATGGTCCGGCCGCTGGCTTGTCCCATATCCAGCGCAGTAGCGTATGTAGCTAGCCTTTTGTCTTTTTTACCGGAGAGGCGAAAAATGTTTTTACATTACTATTATTCGTTCCCAACCACGTGCGGTGAGCCACCAAGGGCCTAGGTGATTTTATTGGCCTCTGAGAGGTCAGGGAGTCCTCACCTCATGCCCACACTGGGGTGGGAGCCATTCTCACCAGGGGGGTGGGTGTGAGAATAGCGAGTCATGAGTTATTCTCACCCGGGGTGAAAATGAAAATAGCGAAACGTGAGTTATTCTCACCCGGGTTGAAAATAGCGAGACATGGGTTATTCTCACCCAAGGTGAGAATAAAAGTGGCCTTCACAAAATTGCAAAAAAGAAGAGGTTCTGGGAACAAAAAAAAGGATCAACTCAAGTGAGCTCAACGCAAGTAGAGTAGACTGTACCTATATATAAATAATAAGTACTTCTTAATTTTCATATTATAAACGCTTTTTCTGAGAGTAGCAAAGAAACAGTTGGAACTCTATAGATAGAGTCTATCAGATGCTTTACATTTGACACAATGATGATTTCATGGAGGTCTACTAACATTTGATATAAGGCCTACATCAATGAATACAATGTTAATGAATTATGAAAGGGAAGCAGTAATTGTTTGATTATTAAAGATGCTTCGTTCCTGTAGGAAGGGGAGGGGCGTGTGTGTGTGTATGTGAGAGAGAGAGAGAGACAGAGAGAAAGAGAGAGAGAGACAGAGAGAAAGAGAGAGAGAGACAGAAAGAAAGAGAGAGAGAGAGAGAAAGAGAGAGAGAGAGAGAGAGAAACACTTTACACTGTCCCTAATATGATAAAATGAAGATTCCCATGGATACACAATGGGCCATCAATATATCATCATTGCATGAGCCATCTTGATAGGGGACCCGCATAGAAAGAGGGTAAGTTGTTAAAAAGAGTATAAAATATAAGGACATGACAGAGACTAAACTAGGCCACTATGGTTCAGGGGTTCTGTTTTCCAAGGAGTACTACTAAACCAATCTATTTATTAACCTTTCAGTTTCAGTGTTCTCAAACAAAGAAACATTCTGACCTACTTCAACTAACAGGCATACTCATGATACTGTTGTCACAGTTGATCTAATTCTGTGACTGATAAGTTTCCATGATGGGCTAGAGACACTCACACCGTTGGGGTGTTGATTCATACCTCATAAAAATATTGCATGACAAGATCTTTGATTTTAAAGAAAATAAACATAACTGCAGGTTTCAAGCCACACTTCTATTTATAGCCAATTACGCATTACGGGAACTCGGTGTCGATCTTTGTTGTAGGAAAGCGTTACTTGATCACAATATCTCATGCATGACTTCACTACAGTTGGGGAACACCCATGAATTTGAAGGCACAAAAAGAAAAAGTTGAAACTTACTTTTTAACCAGTTCCCTTCTCTCTCGCCTTTTGTCGAACAGTTGCTGGCGTTTATCACAAAATCTGAAATTATAAAAATAAGAAGGAAAAATGTATTTCTATTGCAGACGTAATTTGTAGCGCCCTTGACCTAAGCACTGCTTTGACCAAGGCCACAGTGACATCAAGAAATGTTCTAAATAAGGAAAATCATTTCACCTTCCACTGTCTCTCCTTTGTGTGTGGTTGAATAATCCCTTGTTCACACAAACGTCACAAAGAAGAAATCCTCTGTTTTCACAACAAAGTGGACACTTTTCAAATGCAACTGGAACAATTTTACCCTCCTTAATAGCTGCTTGAAATGCAATTTTATAATCGTATCGGGTCTGAGAGATACTGGCGGCCATAACAAATTTTCTGTTTACAATGGTGGATTGTGGGATAGCCATGTGATTGGTTGGAAACATAAATAAAAGAGTACCTTCCCTTTCAGCCTTTGAGTGTTTTGTTTACTTCCCCTTTAGGGTTCTTCATAAATGAAGATAAATACAGTCGTGGTTGACAACCAAAAGTTTACAGAATATGGCGGATGCAGTGAAAACTGTTTCACTATTACATTCATAAGGACATGAATGATATTGCTAACCCTGGGGCTAAAAGGCTTTGGAAACCAGACGTATATTATTTTTAGAGACTGCAACAAATCGATCATTGTCAAGGATGTCTATTATTGAAGAAGTTCCAGGAGTGAACAATGCCGTTCAAAAACTCCAGGAGCTGGGTAATTTTAATTAATGTTATTCACACCCGGGGTGAAAATAAAAATATAAAGTGAGAATAATATCCATTTTATTCTCACCTCAGGTGAGAATAATATTATGTTATTATTTTACGTGAGAATAAACTGAATATTATTCTCACCCGGTCTGAGAATGCTATGGATTTTTATTCTTAGGCCTACCTGGGTGTTGAGAATGTGTAGGCCTAGGCCTACATTCTACATGTAGGCTAATAACTAATTTAATACTAATAGGAATAGGATTCCATAATAGAAAATAATTTGTGAATTGTAAGAGTGACCGTTCGTGACCTGCCCCAGAGCACTGGCCGATTTTTCAAGGTTCCCGCGGGGATTGTTATTGTTTCATCTTAAAAAATCTTGGGAGTATGCACGCATATTTTCACCAAAACCCTAGACTAGTGTTATATTCTAAATTCAGAAAGGAATTCACTTGCCAGAGAAGTATGTTTTAAAAAATAATAGCTTTAACTGAAAGCTGTTTAATGAAATAATGTTAGTAATAGTTTGTCATTGTAATGTTAGAATTGGCATTTGTTTACAACACAAAAAAACGTTATCCCTAACAGAACCCACGATTATTTTTAAGGCACGCTGTGCCTTGTCCCTAGGCTAGGCTTAATTTTTTCTTAATTTTGATTGGTTAAACCATTCAAGAGTAAAATTTTCCATTACTTAACAGAACCAATAAAAAGCATGAAAAGGTGACGCTATTTGCTCAAAAGATAAAGTTTTACCCCCAATCGACAATAGTCGCCTCCCACGCTCGAGAGCGGGCCCGCCCGTTGGCGATTTTTGTCGCCTCACGCGCTCAGTGGAGTGAGAGAGGGAGGCGAGTTTTATCGCCTGGAGTTGGAGCCTGGAGCGCTCAAGTGATAGGGGTCCTGTTGTACTATGATGCCCGAAACAAAATAAAAGAGCGGAAACCAAGGAGCTTAAAACTGTAACCTCCTTGGCGGAAAAACGAAAAAACCGGGTGAGAATAGTAGGCGGTCGTTATTCTCACCCTGGGTGAGAATAGTATCAATATTATTCTCACCCCGGGTGAGAATAATATGTGAGGCATCGTGGTGGAATCAGGCTCTTGTCAATTTTTGGGCATTTAGAGTTATCGGTATCATTTTAAAGCTTGTTCACTTGTCTTTATTTGTATTAAAAAATATCCTTTTATCTTGAAAACAAGTCGAGACATTTGCAAATGAAGGAGGTGGGGGTTTTCAGAGGTACAATTAGTGATAAAATGGCGGCCAAAGATTAGTTATTTCCTTAGCTTAAGAGTCCGTGGTTACTGAAAATTGACATTTTTTATGCCTTTAATCATCGTTTTTCTGAAAAATCCACTCAAAAATCAGTTCTTTAACAGGCATGAAAGGTGTTGAGTCAAAAAACAAAAAGTTTATAAAAATTCACAAACCTGCGGGAAAAATGCAAGTTTTTTCACTTTGATTATTTTGACGAGAGCCTGATTCCACCACGCTGCCTCACATATCCTGTTAATCCTCGCCCCGGGTGAGAATAATCACTTCGAATTTTAATTGTTTAAACCCTTTGACGACCTCCTGAGGACACCGTGCCCCTCTGCCTGAACTCCTGAGTGGTATTTTACTACCATTCATGTGATCTTCTGAATCACATTTCATAGCCCACTCAGGGTAGTCCTTGTCATTATAACCAGCATCTAAGTCAGAAAGATCTTCAAAATAATCAATAACGCCTTGTGTAGTGTAGTAAACACTATTTTCCGCACTAATTTTTTCTCATAAGGGCCAGTTTGGGGATGTGGTCTCGCTCACCGGTGTACCGGTGGCTAGGCATATGGACAGTTTTATGCGCCACCGGTCAAGGGCTCAAAGGGTGAATGAGAAATCAGTAAATTACAATGATATTTGGCTATAAGGCCTTATTCTTGAACTTTTCTCACTACTGTATCTGTTATATATTTGGCAACTTGGAAACGCATGTGTCACTTTTCCCATAAAACTATGACAGCTACAGAGTTGAAAGTTTGCAAGTACCTGCAAAAAGATAGATAGATCCTCATGACAGAGCCAGATTTTTTATTTATTCATTTCCTGAATTTAGACAAATATATTTGACAAAAAGTTCCCATCCTTCTTTGGCCGGTGTGATTATTCCACTGAGAAACGAAACAAATCTGCGTAGCTGTCCTCCATCGCGGAAGGGCCGGAAGTTCACTATTTCACAAGGCGTATTTTGTTTGGAGAGTATAGATCAAGACTTTTTTTTTTTTTTCATCTCTCAAAATTTATTGCTCCATTACAGTTGAGTGTAAATATAGTAGGCCAATGACTTTTAGTTTTTGTTAATGAACCGATCATTCCTTTCATGGAAAGGGGCCCCAGCTAGTAAGATATAAACAAAGGTAAAAAAGTAATCTAGTCTCCATGAAGAATTTCCAGATTTTAAACGTTCTCCCTCGTAATTAAATCAAAGAAATTCACCTTTTTCTTTTGACTTTTCAAGACTCATTACAAGCCCTCCAGGTTTCTGGGGATTTGATGCTTGATACCTTTCTTCCGAACTCGTTATCTCGAAGGCGAGGGGGGGGGGGGGGGGGGGGCTACACCCACTATGCTGGCTCCTATGCAGGGGCCCTGTTTTGGTGAGAATTCTAAAAGTGACAAAGTGACAAATATACATCACTTATTGGTTAGTAAATCAAAACAAGTGAACCAATTTCAATTGTTTTTCATATGATGAATGAACTCCCGGTAAAAAAAAGCTGTTTTCAGCAATGGCAGAAAAGTAATTTGCTGTCAAAATCATTGTAAAGGAATTTGTTGGAGCTGCTGCCAGCGGCTTAGAGGCACAGCGGTCCCGACTGTGAGCCGCTGGCAGCGGCTTGCCATAGATATAAGGAGTTAAAGGTCTTATCCTGTTCTTTTACTCTATCCATATGTCACTATTTTGTATGTGTGCATGCACAGCAAAATGGTGGTTATTTTTTAAACTTTTTAGTGAATATGTTTTACTACTTTCACATTATGTTTTCAGGTGGACGGATGCGTTCTGATGATTTTGGATTCAAAGAAAATGATATCAGCAATCTGGACAAAATCATTGAAGCACTCAATGAGCTGGTAATTTGTAATTTGACATCATCATTTGAACTGAGTATTTCGACTAATTCACCTTTTCCTGTCATGTTAGCCATCAATATTTTTCCAGTTAGAACTTCGAATTCTTCCAATTATAGTTGGTTTTTAAAAGTAAATTTCTTAATGGCTCGCACTTAACGTCCTACTGTCTAGTTGCTGCTATTTTCTCAATCTGTGAAGGATGTTTGACAATATATTATGCATATTTTTTAATTGACCTAAAAGGAAAAAAGATGTAAAAGATGAAATCAAAATTTGAAGAAAGAAAATCTAAAAGACGAAAAGTGTATTAAAGTTAAGAAAATCACTTAATTTTAATTCTTTTTATAATTTGTTCTACCTGTTTTGTCATAGAGTGGTCCGCTGGATTGTAAAAGTTAAGTAAACCATAAAGTGGAATGTTGTTTCTATTGCTGTTAGTCAGGGTTTTCTTACACAGATAAAACTATTTAATGAGGAAGATGTCATTTTATACCTTATTTACAAACATTTGTTATTATTCTTTGTTTGTGTCTTAGGAAAAGGAAAGGAAGATAATGCGGGAAAAGCTGGAAACAGAAACTATCAAAGCTAGTGTTTTGAGGCATGACTTAAAAGTTCTTCCAGGGATCATAAGGGAGGAAATCATGGGTAAGTACTTTGGCCATACTACTATGGTTTCAGACCCATTTGTAAAAATAAATTATATGCATTTGGTTTTATTTTAATGTGAACAACTACATTTGTGAAATGTTCATGTATCTTGAGTCTTGAGATTCTTTTTTTAAATTTACCAACAGTTTCCCCCTAACACCATTGCTGCTTGCTGCAGTACAGTGCCCTGTGTTTGAGCTGAGGTTATTATCTCTTGCTCAAGGACATACCCCAGTAACATCCCATTTAGTATCTTAAAACTGATTCACTTATATCACTTAATTTTATTTGTATGCCTTTACTCACTTTATAAGTACTTGATAAACTGTTTGGGGTCACTGAAAGAGTTTTAATGTGTAAAGTGTACAGTCAAGCCTGTCTGAATGGATACCTGTCGAAGATGACAAACTGTGGTGAAGAAATCTCCTCACTCCCCCTAGATAGATTCCTCTATAATTCATCTACCTAAAATGGAAGGTGTCGTGATCATACAGCCTGCAGAGAGAAAACTTCCATAAATCTTTTCTAACATGCAGGGAGGGGGTAGCGTTGGTTGACTGTGTTTATTACATCGATGAATAGGGCTAAGGCTCGAACAAAGGAGTTTTTGGTTTAGTTTAATCGTTTCTTTTTTCTTTTGATCAAACAGTGGTCCTTGTAAGATGCAAGCACATGCCATTATGGAAGCGGGTAGTATAGCAGTTGGGAGGTGTGAAGTTTTGACCCTTGATTGGTGACCAAACAGTCGACCCTTGATCCCACTGTGCACAGCTGGCCTTTTGCTGCCCCCTTCTCCTACCCAAGATACAAACTATCTACGACAAAAACATTTTCTAGCTCCCTTGCGATTCTGTCTTGGGCCGGTTCTCTGTAATTTTATTCATTTCCAATTCTGCTATTTTTCCACTTTTTCTCTGTCTTGATTTCTTTTCTCTTTCAGTTGCTGTAAACGCTGCCCGACAGTCCAACACAGATGCCCTTGAGGACCTACAAGCAGAACTGGACAAAATGAATAACAACATGGCTGAGCTGGAAACAAAGGCGAGGGAGCTAGAACGGGAAAATGCAGTTCTTCAGTAAGTGTACAAAATGACCTAACGTACTATTGGTTCTACAATAATCTTAAAGTCTTTACAACATATCAGTTCTGGAAAAATCACTTGTTGGCAGAAAACATCTCTATCATCATTTTTAATGTTGACTTCTGGTTCAAATTGAAGACAGATTTAAGGATTGACATAATGCCATTTTAATGCTTGTGTGTTATTTAACTCACTCTAATTGGATTTGACTATATTTTCATGACAACCTTGATTTGGACAACAATTTCCTGTATATAACTTCTGTTATTTCGTGCGTTCCATACGGAAATAGATAGCATATTATTTTTTTTCTTTAAATTTAGCTTTTTTTCATTACATGTATATATATATATTGTCTTATTCAGCCCTGAGAGAGAACTGCTTCGACAACAACATGAAGAAATAATTTCCCAGCTGAACCAGAAAATGGCAGACAAAGCCACGTAAGTATGCACTCCCACCTTGCTTTCTGTTTTACACTTTCTAACAAATATTGCAAATCCTCACAAAGAAAACACGGGTAACATTTTAATTGCATATGCTGTGTCATAGTTTATGAGTGTTCAAAATAATCTGCAATTTCTTCAAAATTACACATAAAAAAATCTAATGTCACCATAATGTTACTTCGGCTTTTAAATTTGTATTTGGATCCTTGATTTTTTGCTTGTCTTTTTGCCTTTGTGAAGACTGCCACTGAATGACAGAAGGTAAATCTGCACTTATACCCTGTCTGTTTACTTCAGTATAGGTTTTGTTTGAATGTTTAGAGGCAGGAAGATTTTGCTTTTTCCAGGGGCTCAATCATTCTTTAAGAAATTGTCATTTATGCATAAGCTGTATCAATTTTAGAATATTTATTCTTGCATTTTGAAATTGTTGTGTTGTCAAGTATACAGAAATTGCATGTAGTTAAAGCATGACTGGCATGTTTGTGTCCCGAACAAGCCCTTTTCATTATATATATTATTATTATTATAGTAAGAGTGTTTTACGGCGCTCGCAACTGCATAAGGTCATATGAGTGCCAATTATATATATATATATGTACTGAAGTATGCATTTTAGTTTCTGTCTCTTTCGATTGTGTTTACTCTCTTGTATCTGTCTACCTGTTTCTCTCTTTACCTCCATCTCTCTCCTTCTATGAGTCACTTCCTCTCTCACTGTCTGTTCTCTTCTCTGGAGTCACTGTCTGTTCTCTTCTCTGGAGTCACTGTCTCCTCTTTTTCTTCTCTCAATCCTCTCTATGTTGTCTTTCTCTCTGTGCACTATATTTTACTAATTTATTCCAGATGCAGAATAGTGTGTATGCCTTATGATGTGCAAATGATATGAAATTACCTCTGGTAGTTCCTAATTTCTCAACTTTCCATTTCTATTTTTGGGGGTTTTTTTTGTTTGTTATCCAATAAACAACAGCAGCAGAAGTAACATGATATAAACGAGCATGTTTAGAATGGACATGGATACACTTTTTAAACTGCAAGACCAGCAGCATAACATTATATCTATCAAAATGCTATTGTTTTTCATACAATGAACATCTTTGTGATCCAATCATTTTTGTTGTAATTCTACAGGGATAGATGAGGTTTTTTTTGGTTGTTTAAAAAAAAAAAGATTTTCGGAGATTTTTCAGCCATGTAGCTGTAGTTTTGCATGACCAATTGTCTTTCAGAAGAGAGAATCATACAATATTGCAAAGGCCGTTACATAGCATGTTGTACAAAAGTCGTTTAAACTTGATATTATTCAGTTTGCATGTTGTATATGAAAGAATAGGAAATATAACAGTAGAGTTGAAAAACAAAACCCTGATTGCATTAAAAAAGGGGTTTTCAACTTTGTATACTGTCTGTAAATAAAAAGGATTTGTATTTTTAGGATCTTTAGTTCACATTTCAGTGTACATGTTGAAGGAAACCAGTAATATTTAAACTTAAAATAATGACATGGACATTTGTTAATTAATTTGTATGATTTGAAACTTAAAGCCATGCACCACAGTTCTTCGAAAAATTCGCTAACATTTGGTATTTATATTTTGTGAAAGGAATAAAGATGATTTAACCTGTTTTCATAAAAGCCTGTATTGGCTGACATAATTTACAGTGAAATGTTTTTATTCACTGAGTTTTTAGAAATATCAGTGTTTTTATATTTTTGTTATAATGAGGATTGCACATTTCAGAATGATCTTTTCTACATAAACTATTGATTGAAATGTGTTGCATTTGACTAACTATAGCAATGAGAAATGTGTTTTGACTTTGACTGACGGCTGTTTTATTATAAAAATAAAAAAATTAAACTGAGGATAGGTATTTTGTATGATATTTAAAAAAGCTTTCATCTTGACTTGATCATCATGACTTTGCTATATATTCACGTGGAAGGTAGGTGACAGTTTTTATGTGTTACCATCATCTATTTGATTTGTTTTTGACTTATTTGTTGCTCTTTTCCAATGGTAAACTGTTGTTTTTTTTCAGTATGCAAATTGCCCTGAATGAGACCCGCGATAAAGTCAGGCAGGCGAATCAAGATGTGAGTTGTTGTTTTTTTCTAGCATTTTTTTAGACTTCACCACAGCAGTTTTAATTCTTGAAATCAAAGTCTATTGCAGAATAAGATAGAAAAAAGTTATTTCTGTAAAGTTTAAATTTTGCCAGAAATTGCATTCCTGAATGTTCATAGAATTACAGTAACACTATACAAGGCAAATTGCAATCAGTTCAGTTGCTGCAGACTTATTGCTTCTAATAAATAGGTAATACAGCTATGCAACTGGCTCAAAGATACGTCCTAGTGACCACCTCATTTAAATGCAGCACATTATATTTAGCTTTTGTGTCACTATTTTCAGTCTCTACAGAACTTTCATCACACAATATATTTCTTCTTTAAATGAAACCTTACCTGTGATAGTTGATAGGTTGTTTACATTACCATAGATATAAACAACTTTTATATTTGTAACTTAAGTTACCTTAGTTATGGACTGATATCCTTTCTTATCAGGCAGGTCCATACTTCTTTGAACAGATTACCGACCTAGGATGCTGCATAGAAAACGATGCTATTTTTTTACTTGTCATGATCTGATTTGCCGTTCATCTCTCTTTCCTGTGTTGTGTTGAGTTTCATCTGTACATCTGTGATTATTTAACACGCCTCAAGCTCACTATTTGTACTTTCAGATTGTGGATCTGGAAGATGGCATCTTACAGTTGAAGGAAGATCTTATTCAAGAGAGGACTGAAGCCAGGCACGAGAAAAAAAGATTAAAGAAAGCAGTGGTAAGTTGTGGAGGTTTTATTATTGTTGGATTTTCTTTTTTTGGCTTGGTTATATATGAACTGGATTTGTGTTAGCATGAAGTTCCCTCACTGCTCTCGCTTACACTGACTCATGCGCACACACACACACACACACACACACACACACACACACACACACACACACACACACACACACACACACACACACACACACACACACTCATGCGTGCGCATGCACACACTCTTAAGCACACACACATACACACACACACACACACTCTCACACACACACACACACACACACACACACACTCATGCGCGCGCATGCACACACTCTCAAGCACACACACATACACACACACACACACACACTCTCACACACACACATACACACACACACACACACACACACTCTCACACACACATAATTACTCATACTTTTGAACACCCAGTTACGCATATATGCAAATGTATACTCACACACTTTTACACACCCTCCTTCTCTTTCTCTCTCTCTCTCTCTTTCTCTCTCTCTCTCTCTCTCTCTCTCTCTCTCTCTCTCTCTCTCTCTCTCTCTCCCTCTCTCTCCCACACACACACTCAGGTGCTCGTCACTTTTTGGCCATATGAGGTTATTGGTATCATCATAAAGCCTGTTCATTAACCTTTCTTTTGGTGAAAAGAAGATCTTGAAAAGAAGTCGATATATTTGCGATTGAAGGAGGTGGGGTTTGCCTCGTTTTAGAGGTAAAATTAGCTAGAAAATATGGCCGCCAAAGTTTGGTGACTTTCGTAGCTTGAGAGTCCTTGGAAACTGCAAATTAACATGTTTTGTGCCTTTAATCAACTCTTTTCGAGTAATATACACTCGTAGATGTGCGTTTAAATTGATCTAAAAGGTGTTGAGCCCCCCAAAAAAATCGATAAAAATTGATATACTGGCGAAAATATGCCGACTTCTTCGATTTCACTATTTTGACGAGCACCGGATTTTACCATGATGCTTCACATTTATTCTTATTCTTCAAATTTTCTCAGACGGACACTCAAACAAAGACTAAGGAACAGAAAGAACAGAATGTAGAGAAAAAACGGTAGGCTTGTGTTTCATAACCCTTCAACCTTAATCCACATCCTTGTTGTTTGGTTCCACAAGTGATCTTAAATATCTTAATGAGCTACCAGACCAAAGTAGAGATATTTGTGTGTGCGTGTGTGTGTGTATGTGTGTGAGTGTGTGTGTGTGTTTGTATGTGTGTGTGTGTGTGTGTCTGTGAGCATGTGTGTGTGTGTATGTGTGTATAGATGAAAGGGGGGGGGGGGTGAAGATGGATTCCAAAGCTCAGTACTTTGAAAGCTGTTCCTTATTGGTATTTGACATCGGTCCTAGTTGAAAAACCCTCACGAGTTCAATTTTTTAAAAGTCTGTAAGCCATCTTGCTTTTCCTCAGCATGTGCATTGTCATATCTATGTTTTCTACTTCTTTTTGTTACTCTTTGGAAACATTTCCTCCCATATTGGTCTTCCGTTGACCATCTTCATAGCACATTGTGTGCAGAGAAGTATTTTTCTGGTTAGGCTCCTAGACTCGTAATTATGAGGTTCTGGGTTCGAAGGTTTGAGCATCAGGCCTGATATTGTGTCCTTGGGAAAGGCACTTAACAATAATTTTCCATACTTCACTCAGTTGGGATTGGGTACCATAGACAGCGAAAGATCTTGTCAGTATGTTAGTGTTTTAGCGCCTATAAAAATAGCAGTTTGCACTGAATGCCTTCCAGGAAGTTGAGATTGTATCAGAATGCTGTCAGAATGCTGGGGTAATAGTATGGATTGTAAAGTGCATAGAACTTGCTGCCAGTGGGATTTTGCACTATAAAAATGCTATCTATTTTTGTTTTATTAAATTCTTTCTTTTAAATGAGCGGCTAAACACAAATAGATCTTTTCAAATGCTTTGCACTTGGCCCTTTATTTAGAGTAAATGGGATGGAAAGAGGAAGAAAACAGTTAAAATTGTCCACCAATATGCACTCCTTTCATGCTTTTATAAGAATAAATGCTCACAGGGGAGGTTGGGTTGGTGTTTGTGTGTGGGGGCTAGGGAGATAGGAGAGTGAGGTAAGATTTCACACTAACAAAAGCCACTCTACAGATAATGTCCGAATAAACATTTAAGGTAATGCAGCTGTTCTCCCTAAGGCCTTTTCCTCTTTAATGAATCCTTTTTTTCCTGATCAGGGAACTGGACACCCATCAAGAAAGACTCGTGGACAGTGAGAGCAGGCTGGATTCTATAAGAAAGGTGAAGAATAAATTTAAGTCAATACGCAATATTTTCTTCTTTTAAAAGTGTAGTTTAAGTGTTCTAATGCACTGTGTTCTTCATAACAGGATGCTTAAAAGTAATGAAGGAGCAGGTTTTATTATGCAGACAGAAATATTTTTATGGACGTGGCATTTTCATTTTATTCATTGTTTGTTGGGGAGTGGGGGTTGTTTCTGTCTGTCCATTTGTCTTGTTTTCGTGTTCTCCAAATTGACTGTTATTGTGTCGATGTGCTTCTTTTTGTTCAAACCAACAAATGCTGACTTTGTAAATATAATAATTGTAAAAGGGCATGGATACTACTCTTGAGTACTGTGGGCTACTGTTATAACAGTCTTAGTTATGACAGGATTTTGACTGTAGCAGGCTTGCGATAAAACCCTTAGCCCCATCTCTTATAGCGTTAAATAAAAAAGTTTGTTTATGGCAATTATTTGGAATAGACTTTCTTGGCTATGTAATAAAAATGATTCCATTTGTTAATCATTGGTTACAGTGTATGTAAACTTGATCCCCGGCTATAACAAGGAGATTACGTTGGTCCTGGTGGTCCTGCAAGAGCCGAGGCCTACTGTACATAACCATTTAACATTAAGTTTGCTCTCTTGTGTACCTATTTTAACCCTGATACTAATATGAATAGTTTGAAATTTGTTTTCTTTATGATTCAGAGTGTCCGTCGTTATGAAACGTCAAAGAACAAGTTGGAAGCTGATGAGAGGGCCCTCAGTGCTCAGCTTTCTAAACAGCTCAAGCTGAATGAAGCTCTGAGGAGAAGAGGGTTAGTTTCTCTTGTCATTATGTACTGAGCCCCTATAACCACTCCTGGCTCCAAATTAAGGCTCAATAGTGTTACATACAGATTACCAATGGATTTGGTGGCAAAGTATCTTAGTCCTGGATGGCTGGGTTTAGATGAGACAAAATTTTCAATTTGATGCTCTCTTCTTCCTTCAAGCACTTAGTATTTTGAAAGCATATGGCTTGGGTTTGTTTTTTTTTAATTCCTGAGTAAACATACTGATTGTATATTACTGTTGTATTGTAAAGCGCTCAGAGCCTGAGTACTTTAATCTGACTTAAGCGATATATAAATGCCATATATTATATATTATATAAACCAAGTGCACAATGATTAGACTGCCATAGGGTTTCATGGCCATCATTGAATTTTTGTTGGTCTTTTTTCAGTTTCCATCTGAGTTTGACGCAGTTATATTATTTATCTTTACCCTGTGACACCCAAAGTAGACTGATTTTTTTTGCCTCTGTCTTGCACACAAGATAACACTGAAAGATATTTCCATTCAAGCTTTATATAGTTTTGTTGATTTTGTCCGTTTCTCACCAGTGCTGATATTGTGAATGAGAACCTGAAGGAACAACAGGAATTTGAAACAATGCAAAGACAATTGAATAACAAGGTCAAACAAGTAGGTGTCTTTTCTCTCTTTAGTGCAAATATTTTTGTAAAATGAATGCTGATACTTTTTGCAGTATGGGGTCAGTGGCTTCACGCCTGAACCTTCTTCTTGGGGCCAGCTGTGGCTAAATTGAATTTTCCCTCAGGAATCAGAAAAAATGGGGATTTTTCTTTTTCATTTTCTCCTGCTGTAGCTGTTGCTGCTGCTGCTTATCCTCCTGTTGTTGTTTTTTGTTTGGGGGGGGTTGTTTATTTATAATATGAACAAATATTACACCTGAAGTGTCACCTCATTTAATCATCTCTTTTCTAAAATGATATTTGTGTCATGACGTGGTGGAATCAGGCGCTCGTCAATTTTTGGGCATATGGGGTTATTGGTATCATCTTCAAGCCTGTTCATTTGCCTTCCTTTTAGTGAAAAGAGTATCCATCTATGTTGAATAGAAGTTGAAATATTTGGGATTGAAGGAGGTCAGGGTCGCCTGGTTTCAGAGGTAAAATTAGCGAGAAATGGCTGTCAAAGTTTGGTAACTTTCAGAGCCTGAGAGTTCTGGTAATCTGGAAATTTACACTGTTTGTGCCTTTAATCAATGTTTTTCAGTAAAATCCACATAGAAATAATGTGTTTTGAAATGGACAATAAAGGTGTTGAGCCAAAAAAAGAAAATTAGAAAAAAAATTTCCATTTGCCAAAAAAAAGGCTGATTTCTTTTATTTAATTATTTTGACGAGCGTCTGATTTCACCACGATGCCTCACATTTTATTTACAAACAAGTGAATAAGCAAAGCCATTAACAGAACCGTTTATTTTTTTTACAAGAAATAATAAAAGGGAAAGCAAATTTCAATATGATATATTATCTTGAATGCCGTGTAATGTTTGATTGTTGTTCTAATATCTGTTCTCTTTACTGGACAGTATGAAGTGGACATTGTGAAAGAAACAGAAAGAAGCTCTCGACTGGACCAAAAAAGAATACAGCTGCATTGTGGTTAGTGTGGCCTTTCTTCATTTTCTGAAGAGATTATATTTTAACTAGTTTATTTCATGGTCTCACTCTCGTAAGTGAAAGACAGAAGGGGGGTGACTGTTCTTAGCAGTGCTTGGTATCAGCAGTCAGATTGGAGTAGCAAAAGAAATGAGAAATGAGGAAGAAAATATTCAATCTTCAAGGAAATCTAATGTTTAATGCTCTATTGATGAATACTATTTAACTGACAAATTTTCACTATAATTCACCTTTCTGAAACCAGATATAAAAATTTTTTATATTTGATGAAGCCAGTAGTTTTAACAATATTGCTGATTTGTGAGCCAAGTATCAAAAACTTCCTGAAATACATGGAAAAAGATTACACATGTGTTTATCACCATTTTGTAGCTGGAATATTGCCTGTAAGTTTGAATGGAAACCTTAAAAGTAATCATCATGGTTTTTAAAAAAATCTCTACTTACAGATCTTAAGGACAAGGAAAGGCTGCAAGAGGAAGATGCTTTGTATGTGCAAGAATTAGATGAACAGTGAGTACTATTTTTATGTGCACCAATTTCTGTGAATAACTTTGATTGTTTCTGAGATCTTTCAACTCAAGAAGTCCCACAGCTCCTCATAATTTTAGCTTACAGAACTGTTTTAAATTTTTTTACAAAGGGTGAAAAGAAAAAATATTTATCTTTTAAAACTTACAAAGATGATCCTCTTTTAGTCTGTTTTTTAATTAGTTGTAAAATATTTTCTTTCTTCATTGCCCATTTCTAAAACCTGTGTAATGACTTTCAGGTTGCAGTCAGTCAAGCGTAATCTGACAGAAAAGGCAGAAGATGTTGGTCGTATGCAGACAGAAAATGTGGAGATGACAGAGGAGATTGAAGCTCTCTCTGAATCTCACAAGTAAGTTAAAATATTGAACTTATGATGGATTGATTATTTTATAAATTACCATGACCAAAGCATCCCAAGCATGGCCATACCCCCCCCCCCTTTCCCCCTGTCTTCAATAGGTATGACAGACTTTACTGTTCCTTTGACTATGTCCTGGTTCATTGAATCTGGCAATTATTTTATCAGTGTCTGACTTTGTCTTTCTCTATGTGTTGATTTATGTGGTGGTTTGGGACGGGGGGTAGAGAGCTCTAAATAAAGTGGTGTCTGTCCCATCTGCTTCCTTTCTATGTCACAATTACCCAAGTCTGTTTATAATGAAAAGTTGACTTTCTGTTAAAAATAACCCCAACCAATAACTCCTTTCCGCTCCCTTTGCCTTGAAGTTGTGTTTTCAGCTCCCACATCAGAAGAACATTAACGAGTGTGGAGAGCGTTGCTTTAGCTCACATCTTCCCACTGCATTAGGGGTACTCAGTCAAAGTGAGACATTCACAGGAAACATTACCATTGTCTATAACATTTCATTGGGTTCTGTCCTTTTTGTTCTTCTACTGTGTGCTTGTGTATATTAGAATGTGTATGTGTGTGTGTATGTTTGTGTATGTGTGTGTGGGTATGCGTGTGTGTGTGTGTGTGTGTATTAGAATGGTGTTTGTGTGTGTGTGTGTTTGTGTGTTTGTGTGTGTGTGAGAGAGAGAGAAAAAAAAGAGAGAGACAGAGAGAGACAGAGAGATTGATTATTTTTGTGTTTTATTCCCGTTTTAAAGGTACTCATCTTTAAATGTCAAAGTCAGTAGGTGGGAAGAAAACAAACTCTATTCAGTTGTGAGGCCATACTTCTGCTTCATTTATGTCTTGCATTTTTCTGTTTATACTGTCCAAAGAATGGTAGGTTGTCCACAGCTCAGTATGAGACTTCATCATGCATCACTTTTCAAAATGGCATATTGTGGAGTATTAAGCAGTTGTCATGTTATTGATTGTTGGTAAAGTTTGTTTTTGGAAGGTTTGTTTTTTATTATTATTTTGCTTAAGAAATTACGTAATATTCATCAACAGTTGAAAGATTCTTTGTACTGACATTCACAATGAATAATATTGTTTTCTCTTGTGCAAACACCTCAATTGATTGCAATGGGTTTTATTTTTATTTTTCGCCTGAGTATTTATTGAATTTGTGTTTCGATTACAGCTATGACCTTTCCCTAAAAGCTTGATTAGTGTTGTTGTAAATCAACAGGGCCGTGCTGGCACAGCTCAACAAGCAGATAGAGGAGTACAGGGAACAGTTGTCTAAAGAGAGAAAGGAAAGGTAAATTATTGTTGAAGTATTCGTGTCTGTGTAACTTCAGTTCAGCCAAACACTGTTTACAAAGGTATACCACTTCCTTTCAAAACACAACATTTTCAGTTTTTCTGTGCCTGTATCATAAATATCTCCAATTTCTTTATTAATTGATGATGTCTGTTTTTTGTGTCAATTATAATGATATGATTGTATATCTGTCTATTATACAGTATTTGGAATACTCTTTGAAAAATCATGCTTTATAAGTTTATTTTTATTGAGCATAAGTTCTTAAATGGAACAAACATTAAATGGAAAACTGAGAGAAGAACAATAAAATAGGTAATGTCTAATCGGCAGCAAGAAACTCATACAGACGCCCCCTAAAATATACAAAATTGAATGGTTTGGGGAGTTAAATGATGGGGCCTACATTGTTCTTGTTGGACTGTGTCTCCTCTCCATTTTCTCGTGGAGTTTTTTCACAATTTTATGTGATGACACTGTATTTATGTGACAGCTTAATCCTTACCATCGTAGTATTACAACTCAAAAAAAAGAATATGTACTGTAAGTATTAAGGTTGTAGAAGAAATTGTTCAGTGCCTGAGTGGGTTTTTGTTGTTGTTGTTGTTTTTTTGTATGTGTCCTTTTGCTTCTATGAATGAGGGTTACTTGTTCCAGAGGAGAAAATTATTTTTGAGTTTGTGGAGGAAGAATGAGTAATGTGTCTTAGATATTTATTTGTATATGTACTATTTCTTACCCCTCTGTAGTTTCTGTTTTACTTTCCTTTCTTATTCCATTCTATGTGTATCTCTGTTGTTGTGCCAGTGTGCTTTTCTTTACTCAAACCAAATTAAACTAAAACAATCTGAAAGAGAGAGTGCTTCATTTCAGATTAGAGTTACAAGAAGTGAAAGATGAAATTGGGAAGTCACTCGACGACATCAAGACCTCTCAACAACAGTTCATCTCCAATATCTCCGAAGGAATTCAAGACGGCAAAAAGAAGCATGTGCAATTATCCAATGAGGTTTGTAGTCTTCTTTCTCCTGCAGGGTGTGAATCTTTTTACTGGTAGTCATAAATCATTCAGGGTTTACGAGTGTGTTAGCTTTGTTCATGGACACATAAGAGATAGGTGGGTGGATGGGTGGGGCTGGACACACCTCTCATTCTTTCTGAAGCATCAAGTCTTCTAGGATAATGGCCTAAAAAAACTTCAGTGGCCCTGTGTACTTTCATATTGTGCTGACCTGTCCAGGCTGATGGCCTTCCCTAAATTCAAATCAATCCCTATCCAGAACTAAAGAATATTATTGTTGTACCTTCTCTTCCTTTGCCCATTCCTCGGAGGGAAATTAACCATTTCTTAATTCAGGAATCTAAACACATATGCCAATTTGTTGATCAATGAAATGTTAGTAAATACGTAGTGAGAGGAAGTGGGAAGAGAAAGAGAGAGAGAGAGAGAGAGAGAGAGAGAGAGAGAGAGAGAGAGAGAGAGAGAGAGAGAGAGAGAGAGAAAGAGAGAGAGAGGGAGGAAGTGAAAGGATCACTATTGCATGATTTTTATATTATTGTTAAGCACCTTGAGCTTTTTCTTAGTTGAAATGCGCTTTATGAATGTACTCTATTACTATTAACTATTATCATTATATATACTAGGGAGTTCAACTTCAGAAGGACATCAGAGAGGACGAGGCTGTGATAGACAAGCTGGACCAAGACCTGCAAGGCGTGCAGGAGAAGTATGAACAGATGTTCTCAGCCATGCAGACCAAAGTGGACAACATAGAGGTCGGTTCATGTGTACAGATGGGTGGAGCATTGGGTGTGCTTGTGTTTAGATAAGGATGTAAACATGTGTGTTTGTTAGGATAAGGGTTTATATGTCTGTGTATGAATAAAGAGAAGTACGCAGATCTGGGGTTACAGTAGGGGACCACAGAGGGGTTGACACTATGTCTTACAGGAACAGGAAATAGTTTGCTGTGATTGTTGATATATGCAAAGATGAGGGTGTGGGGAGGGGGGGGGGTTAAAATTTACCAAGCTTCTGTCTTGTGCTTTTTGATAAATTTGCCTACTCACAATATGCCTTTGTGAGGATGTGAAATTCTCAGTATTTTTTTATAGCCCTAATAATTAAAGTCTTGAAAAATGTGTGGTTCTGTAATTCACTAAGACTTTTTTTTTTCCCAAATCGTTCCCATGGTAAAATTCTGTCTGTTTTCTTGCTGACCTGACATGCTAATGAAAATTTTTTTTCAGGGTGGCATCCTGTTTATGGAGAAAGATATTATCACTAAGAAGGCAACTATCGCAGAGAGGACCCCAATTTTTGAAGAGCTTGAAGTTTTCTTCAACAAGAGATCAGAGGAATATGATACCATGAAAAAGTCGATTGTGGGTAGGTTGATCAGTAGCAGTAATGAAGCCTGTTGTTGGTATGTCAAACAAGTTATGTTGATGTGATGTGTCAGTGAACAGTGTTAGCAAATTGGATCAGTATCATTTGTGAGCTTATAACCACTGAGCTAGTCAATAGAATTAATAAAAGCATTTATTTTGTCTCTCATGTGCAAGCAAAGTTACTTTCTGTTTTCATTTTGCATATATACTTCTTTATTTAAGTTTTTTGTAACTGTTATGTGCTGTGCACCTATTATCCTTGTTCATTGGTTTCTCATCTCTATTACAGCTCTCAAAAACAAGAAGATGGGACTCGAAGATGCCATAAAGAGAGCCAAAAAAGAACGTGATGGACTGAAAGCTCCTCAGGTATGGTATAACGTGAAGTTTGACAAAGTTGCATATTTCTTCTCTGAAACTTTTTACAGCAATCTGGATTTTGTATGATGAAATGTTAATGATGTATCTCACTACCAATCTATCTGTCTGTCTCTCCCGTCTCTTCCCTCCCTTTCTTCTGTACTTTCTCTTTCTGCCTGTCCTACTTTCTCATTCTCTCATAATTCCTTTCTCTTATACTCTCTCCCCCTTTCTCTTTCTTGTCACATCACCTCTCTTTCTCTTTTTTTCTCCAGCTTCCCCCTCCCCCCTTTTTTTTCTTTTCTTTTCTCTCTCCCTCTGTTCACTCCTCTCTCTGTGTTGTCTAGGAAACGCTGAAATCAGACCTGAAGAGCCACAGGGGCCAAGTGATGAGGCAACTCAAGAAGCAAGGGACTGACACTCAGAAGATTGAACAGGAAATCTTTCTGGCCGGCTGCCAGCTCCGCTTGGTCATGGAGGAGAATCAGAAGTTTGAAGATGTAAGTGCATGTTGTCATTTCACTGAAGGGGGGAAGAGAGGAGAGGCGCAGTTTTTTTGGGGGTTTTTTTTCAAGTTGCAAAATTTAGCAATCAGCACAATATGATTACTCAGATTTGGTAAATGCAAAGTATTCTGATAATCCAAGTTATTGTGATTTTTTTTTCCACATTTTATTTGATGTCATGCTATCAGTGTAATGACTCATATATTTTTCTTATTGCATATAAATTTATGGTATCTTTGATATTGTAGAGCTTTTTGAAACGCCATAGTATGTTTGGTCCAGTGGCAATGATTTGAGCTTGTTCTCTTTGAACTTAAAGACTCGTTAAAGCTCCAGTTGATACACTACTCTTCGACCTGTGGAACAAAGGATGTCATTTCATGTTTTCTTGATCTTTTCTTCCTTCCTTTAGGCTTGCAAAAAAGTGGAGGATGACCTGGCAGATTTGGAGACACAGAGAATGGAAAATGAAAAGATCAAAATGATGGCACAAGGCGATCTTCAGAGACAGAAAAGTAAGTTTTGGTGAAAGTTTGTTTTAAAAGTATAGACTAAAGTTGATCCATTTACTGTCAAGATTGTTTAAAACTGAAATCTGCGGGACCATCGGATTTTGTTTGGTTTAACCAAAAGTTATTATTAAATCATCTTCTTCAAGGAGGCTTGGAAAAGACTCATTGCTCTTTGCCAATTCAATTTTTTTCTCTGCCAGCAATTACTGTAGACAGAGTAGAGAGACTTCAGGAATGCTATGCTTGCTGTACATATAATTTTTGAAAACTTTTTTTCTCCTCTACCTATTTCAATAATTGCAATTTAAGCAGTAGGGTGTGTGCCTTGTGCTTTCTTTCTATTTCTATTTGACATTACCAGCTTGCTTAATGTGCCGAACAGTCACACAGACTAGACACAATAATAGATCAGTACACTGTACTGTGCTGCACTGTTCTCTCTGCTAGAAAATTCAGGACATTGTCTATTTGTTTGGCTAAAATTTGTTTTTGTCTGATTTTAGGTGAACTGACAAGGAAATGGCAAGCTGATAATATGATGCAGGAGGTAAGCCATTTACGTATTTCAATTAGTGACAACAGATTCAATTGATGGTAAATGTTTTAAAACCCCATAGACACAATCTCTTCTGTGCAGTCCCTGGCTTTGAGAAAAATAGGACTGATGTGGGGCTAGCATGTTGTAAGAGGCAGCTGAATGGCAACACAGGTAGTGCCTCCCAAAATAGAGACACCTGGTCCTCACAGCAGGCTGGAGGTGGAGATGATCGCCCAGAACAGAGACGGACGGAGAACTCTTCACGGCGACCCATACCCAGTACAGGGTGAAAGAGCTTAATGATGATAGACACATTCTAGGTTGTTTAGGAGGTTGGTTGCCTGTCAAGGTTGACCCTGGCTGTGTTGGATGCAGGATCCAACAGAAAGGTAGAAGCACTCAAAAAAATAGATTTTCCTTTTGTGGGAAGTTAACAGACTTATGTTACCTATCTTGATTGAGTCAGATACTCAAATCTTCCTATTTTGTAGGGTTGATTTGATAGTGGCATTGCCACCTGCCCTTTTTTTTCCCACCTATCTTTTACCCTATCTGTATGCCGTGGGGTCATTTTGTACCCCCTGGTTGTGTTCTTCACATTTTAAAATACTTCTAGTACGAAGATCTCTTTGAAACTTTCAGTGTTTCTCAAAAAATCGTTTTGACAGACTTTTATGCAAAGCGTACGGATCAGATTAACGAATAAATTTCCTCTTTGAAAGTGGTGGCACAGAGTTCCCCACGCCGTATGGATACGATAGTAAAGCACGGCGTACAGATAGGGTTAAGAAAAAGAGAGTTGAATGTCAAAGAAAAAGGTAGGTGATTAGAGAGCACCATTGGTAGGTCCTACTTCTTTTCTTCCCCTCTAATGTCTTTTTATGTTTATCTTGGTTGTTTTTTTTTACCAACCCTATATGGCTATTATTGTCTCTTTACCCAAGTGAAACCATTTTGCACGAAACAGATTTAGACTGTAGATACAACTTCGAAAAAAAAGTGGAAGGAGCTAACCACCCTCTAGCACATATTCCACTAGTTTTATCACATTTGTTCCTGCAGTTCTTTGCATCTCGAGATGAAGCCACAGCAGAAGCATTTGGGAGATTGTTGGACAAGACGGAAAAGAGAGAAACGAAGATTGATGAGATTACAGGAAAATTGCGAGGAGAGCTGGAAGTTCTGTCTGAATTTTTGGATAATTTGTCTACTCGCCGGCCAGAAGGTGAGCTCCTTTGTTCTGTGCAATCTAAAATTGCATTTTTGTTTAGATGTGCCGGCTGGGAGTGCAGTTTATGTTTATCAAACTGTGTGTACGTCTTTGCAATCATTTCATGTCAGAGAGTAAAGTTTCTCTAGTAATCAGATTTTTAAAAACAGTTATCATATGGTAGTTATTGAGTATTGCATACCTCATATGGATGGTCAAATTCAACCTTTCATTCAATAGAATAAAACAAAAGGGGTTGACAATTTTTCTGAGAAAAGAAGGGTTTTTTAATAAAGGGATTTAAGAAAAGAAAATTGTCTAAGATATGCTGTGATGGAATAACATGCACCTCTGCACAATTTTATCACAAAACAGAAAGTCATGACTTGCGATGTAAGAATGTGAACCGACTTTTCATTAAAGCTGAGATTTTCTTAATTAGATATGTTCATGTATTACATTTGATGGTATTGGGTTTTTTTTGGTTTGTTGTTGTTTTTTTGAGAAGCTTAAAAAAGATATTATATGTTCCCTTGATGAGCATCAGTTTTGTGCATCTCTGGATCAAAATACTGAACTCATATTGTCTTCATTATGGCTATTAAAATATTAATGCTTGCTTCTTGTATCACCACAACAGCTCAGTCATCTTCATCATCTTTGCCATTATCATCATTACCATCATCATCATCATTATCGTCGTTGTCCTTGTAGTTCATCATCATCCTTATCATCATCATCAGTGTCTTTTATCTCTTTGTTCAGCACCAACATTTGCAACAACATTTGTGCCATTGCTTTCATTTGTTTTGTTCAGGACAAGTCACAAAGTTATTGCAACACCACAATCACAACACACCATTTGCACCCTGTATGTATTTAACATTTTCACATATGCAGGAAAGAAAAAGCCGAAAAGGTAAAGTTTTGGTGGAGGCAATCCTAGACCCTGTACTCTTACCCAAGTGCATAACACCTTTTGTGTACTAAACATAGCCAAGCAGAGTATGAAATTCTATTGATAGTTCTAGTTCCCTGTGTGCTTGTCCCATTTCCCTTACGAACAGTGGTACTTGGTGTGTAACAACTAGGAAAAGAGAGTCCAGCATGAGCAGTAGAGACAGAAGAAACACATATTCATTCTTTTTTTTCTGATGTTTTGGGTTTATATTTATGTATGATAGAAGCTACATCAGCTGTCTAGTAAGAAAATACCTGGCCTGATGAGAGATAATCTTCAAAGCCAGTGCTGTGGACTGGCTCCTTGACGTAGTTCACAGAGTTCACATGGTTGTCGTGGGATAGGTAGACTGAAGCAGGTTTAGTGCCTCGTTCTGTTCACTTAAGATCAGCTTTATCGACCCATATAGCTATTCTGCTATAATTAAGTCGTGTGAGTTTGACCAGTGTTGATCATGATGAACATTGCCAGATAACTATTCTTCTCTTGTGTGTTCTTCTCTCTTACTGGAACATGGAGACATTTTTTGTAGCAATGTTTCAAGATACGCGCAACTATTTCAAAGCAGAAACACAGGCAAACTAATATTGGAATTATTTTGCTAGTTAGCAGTTACCTTTCTGTTGACACTTTGTTCTCTTATTCTTAGTCATTTACAAGTTGATGGTAGGACAAAGTACTAAATGTCATTAGTTTTTTCCCCTTTATTTATATGTGTTTTCCCTTGCACCTTCAATAGCTTCAAGTCACTGAAGAAGATATCCTCAACAACAAAATCGTTCTTTGTATTTGTCATTCCCTCTATACCTGTTAAGTCAAGGCCTGCAAATGTAATAGTTTATCTGCATGAAACACTTGTGGTGTTAGTTATTAGAGAGGACTGCCCTTTTGCCTTAGAGGAATGAGTTATTTGTGCTGTGCTCTGTATGTAAAGCTGCCTTCAGACTATTTCTTATGAGTTAGTATTAGCCTCACACATTGCACCAAACTGTGTACATGTATATTATTTTCAAAGTGGTTGTGTCGTTGTGGGGTTTTTTTTGTGATTGAAAAAAAAAAAATCTTTAAGAGGTTAATTAAGATTCACTGATGTAGTTTGAATCTCACAATTTGTTGGTTTTTCTTTGGAAGGTATAACATCCTTGGTAGTCTTTTTGTGCCCTTTTTTTCGGTTTCATTTACTGTATGGAACTGGAAAGGGGAACTTCATTTGCATTACCTATATAGTTTTAATCTCACAGTTAATTTGTTGTCTTTTGAATGCATAACATCAATTATGGAAGCCCCCTGTGTCCAATGATGATACTTCTCCATCCTTTCTTACTCATCCTTTGTCAGTTTTCAACATCATAATATTTCATAAGTTTTACAAATGGCCTTACTTACCACTGTGTTTTGTCCAGTAGGTAATTTTGATGACATAAGTTTGAACTCTCAGAAGGATTTTGTTTGTTATAGCTATAACTGGTTGAAACATGCTTTAACCCCCAAACCAGCTTTGCTTTCAAGAACCTGTTGTTTTTGTAGGCCAAATTTTGTTCATCTAGTCATCTAGCCAAATGTTTTATTGACATTCTCATTGTTTTGCATGTGTTGGGGGTTACTTGTAGTTTCTCCTTCCTTCTCATAATGCTGTCTGCTGGACATCCTGCTTTTTTCCCCAGTTCTTTGCTTACCTCCCAGGGGCTGCATTCTGTCAGCGGTTAACTATTTAGAGTAATGACTCAATGAGTAACTTACACCTGACAGGGCTGTTGATCCCTCATCTTAGAGCGGGACAAGACATAACAACTCTTACTACATATATGTTTACTTTTAGCTTGCACCCTTCTTTCTTTCTTTTCACCCTGCCTTTTTATAAACGGTACGTCAATTCATGTTTATTTACTCTGAATTAGAAGACAGCTTGACGGTATGTAGGTCTGCTCAGAACAGTGAAATGCTCACACCTTCATTCAGTACCGGTACATACTTCTGTGTTTGTCACTTGACAACTCATTACGTCACTTGTAAAAGATTGCTCAGAGCAGGAAAAAAATGAATATGTTTGTTGGTAAAGGGTGCCACTGGTAGGTACGGTACAACATCTTTCTTGTTTGTCTATAATTTATGTTTGTCATCTTGCCTTTGCAATTTCTCATTGACTGTTCTTTGTGGGATAGTAAACAGGTCTTTGATTTGAGCACCCCTCCTCCTGAAAAACAGTAGTTATGATATATATATATATATATAATTAATGTAAGAGAGTAAGAAGGGAACTCTTGTTTTAATCCTGTAAAGTTCTCACACTGTTATTGGGAATCCTACTTTCTTTGAGCTAATGTCCTTTGACTCCATGCCGTGTTGTAGAGGGTTAAGATGGGTATTTTTATGCTTTTCAGATAGTTGTTTTTAAACCAATAAAGATTTTGATTTATCAGGTATGTAATTTTAAATCATATGCCAAACAGATAAATGAATTTCTAGGTCTTGTGCTTGTGTGTATGCATTCGACTGATATTCGACTCATATATATGAGTGTTTGTATCAGTCTGAACTGATGTTTTTTGTATGTGATATCTCAGGACGCTTAACATTAGCACTTCTGTTAGTACTTCTGCAATCAAACTGAATAAATGAGTAAGCTTGCTGTTAAAAGGCAGATACAAAACTGTTACACAAATTTGTCTCATTTCTCCCAGGTGGGAATGGATACATGTACAGGCTAAAGACAGCGAAAGATTTTGTCAGTTTGTCAGTGTTTGAATGCTTGCGATCCACTGTATGCTTCACGGGAAGCTGGGAATGTTTTTGAAAGGTCTAGAGTCTGCTGGGGTAATGATATTTGTAAAATATATGGAGCATACTGTAGAGCGTAGATATGCACTACATAAATGCAATTATTATTATTATTATTATTATTATTGAATAGTATATATATATATAATTTAAAAATTATATTATAGTTATTTATCCTCTAAGGTACATGTTCCGAAATTTTCACCATGACCTCTAACAACAGACTGCATTGTTAGTCTTTAAATTGTTTTCTCCCTTTATGCAATTATAATCTCCCTACCTTTAAACAGGGGCTGGCGACTTAAATTGAGAATCGAAAAAAGTAGGCCCTATTCCATTGAAACGTACAAATGTTTTGATTTTTAAAAAAATGTTTTCTTCAGTATCCGAGTCGGCAAGAAGCAAAAAACGCCCAGGCAGCTTGCACTCGGCCATTGGCACAGTAGCAAACGCCAACAAACATTCGTCTCTCCCCGACTCCTCCAGCAGACTGGCGTCAAGGATGTCCCAGGCAAAATCACTAGATCCAAGACTGAGCCCTGATACTGTCAGGTGAGCACCCTATGTAGAACTTAGAAGCATTGCCTTAAAGTTGGATTTTTACCTCCATTTCCCCATGATTGTATTGAGATGAGATGAGAAAAGATTTTGTTGCTATCCACTAAGAGAAATTTTCTGCAGCAGGGTAAATACATACACACACACACACTGTTTGCAAGTTTGTAAGGGGCTTCTTTTTCCCTCAAATTAACAAATGCAAGCTTCATCGATGGCTAAAATTTAAAAGATTATTGTGGCAGCTCAGACCTCTTGATACAGGCATGTAATATTTTACTTCAGCCTTTACCTAAGCAAAACTTTGTGGACGTGTGTGAATGAGAGTATGAAATTACTAGTTTTTGTGTGAGAATGTCATATTGATTACAATTACATGATTGTAAAGGGTGTGAAGCTTGCTGTTGAGCAAATGCTATTTATTTATTTATTATTACGTAGTCATTATATGTATATTGTATTGTTTATCATTTGATTTCTGCCCCCATGTATCATTCATAGTGTTACTGCCAACAACTTTGACTATGAGCATGAGTGAGAATAAAAACCAAAGAAGATGATAATAATAAAGTTATAATATAATATAGCACAAAGCGCATAGAAGCTTGCTGTGAAGCGAGGATATGCACTATTCTATTAATACTAATATTATTTATTTTTATTATTATAAATTTTTGCATCTGATCTATTCTTGGATACTACATGTACAATTAAAGCGCTTTCTATTTATGCATTTCATCAACAGAACACCGAAAAGTTTGAGATTTGATTTGAAATCTGAAGCTGGTTCCGTGGTGTCTAAAAAAAGCAGGACAACAAGATCCCCTCTACAGAAGTTTGTACCCCCTGCCAGTACGACTCTCGAAGCCACTCCCAGATCACAGGGAGGCAAGTCACCCAACTAACAAGGAACTGCTCGCGCCACAGATATTTAGGTTTTTAACGTACTTGGGGAAAATCACCACTTCTGATTTTTAGCAAAATTTAATCCTGGTTCTTATTTAGACTGATTGCAGCGTTCCATCTTCCATGAAAAGAAGACACTGATTTCATCCTAAAATATCCCTTTAATCAGTGTGAATTTATCATTGCAATGTTACTTGCACTTTGGTACATAATGATATGTATGGACCAGCCAGGCACTTATATCTTTTGTGACTTGACAAGACACCGAGTCGAAATGTATACAGACGACTCGTATTCTCACAAACATGCACGCCAAAATTATGTTTACATGGGAGGCTGCGAGGTTTATTAACCTGTGAATGGATGCTATTTCAGTTTTAATTTGAATTTGACTACAGGGCAGGACACAGTAATGGTCATACAGTGCTAAGAAAAAAGCAAGACCGATAGACAGAACAAAAGGGGTAGAGTATGGAAGTGGGACCTTTATTATTCTACTTCATACTTAATGGTCTCAGGTGAAATTGGCATGTTAAATTTAAGAAACGTCTCTTTTTCTAAAGAAGATTTCTAATTGAAAGACATTTATAAGGCAGAATCATTTAATTACATTAGATGCAGTTTCTTCTCACAAACTGCCCTGTGGATAAACTGATAGAAACCACACTTGATGTTGTAAATAAAGATCTATTCTCACTTTTATTTTTATCTTCTAATGCCATGTGAAGAGAATAAAAGCTGGTCTGCTCGTTGGCTGAATTCTTGTTTCATGTCTTGGTATATTTGGATTTGGATAAAGCTGATGTGTTTGTAAGTTTTGTGTAAGCATCAAACATTGGAAAAGTACATGTTAAACAAAAAGAAGCCCTTCAGCTCTTCAACATCCCTCTGATTATGATCTTTTCAACATTGTACTGCTTGACCTCAATATTCCTTTCCACACATAATGATTATTTTCATTATTTTAGCATTAAGTGGATTAGATCGCCAGGTCGAAAGCCCTTCTTGGCAACTTATATCCAATACGCGGGTAAAAGAAGTGAATGAAGGTTGAGCCAAATATATTCTATAAACAAGCTTAGAATTAGAACAAGACATATGGTAAAGGATGCCAACATCAACAAGGGCCATCCAGCATGATAACAAGCAAGTTAACAGTGCACAGCATTTCCTCATATTATGCATGAAGAGGCTTCACAAACGCCAAGCCTGCCAATCAAACACTCCAGCATTGTCTGTATCTGATCAATATGAAAGGTTGTCCGTGATATTTTCATTTTTTCTCAGACTGTAACTGCACAGAAAAAGCATGCTATTTATGGACAGGACTTATCATTTCTTGTAAATCATGGGTGCTGTTTTTCTACTAGACTTTTTTTTTTTTTTGGGTAAGTGTTTTACGCCGCTCGCAACTGCATAAGGTCATATGAGCACGCGGGACACACCTAATACTTTTAGTTGGTAGGAAATTTTGAATTTTGCCCAGGTGGCGGCCGAAGCCTACTCTTATCGATTTTAGACCACCAAGGGATCTTTAACGTGCACAACTTACACACGGGCCCTCTGAGATTTTTTGCCCTTGTCCGAGAAGGCTAGGTGTAGATCTTTCCTGCCAGAAGATCAGGGGTGTGGCAGAAAGACAGCAGTAAGAAGGAGTCAAGGAGTAGCAGTAGAAAGGCTGCAGAAAGAGTCAGGAGCCCAGAGGAGGGGGCAAAGGAGGTGAGGGGGTGGAGGCTGAAAGAGGAGACGAAAGCAGACGACAGAATATTGCTAGAGAGCAGGAAAGGAGGTGAAAGGAGACAATTTTAGAGAAGAAAATTTTTCGGTCGCTACCCGGATTCAAATCCGGGACCTTTGAAGGAGAGGCCAACACCTTAACCTCTAGGCCACAAGAGCCCCCTACAGTAGTCTCCGCCTAAACGCACGCCATACAAAAGCACGCTCCGCTCAAACGCACGCTTTCGTCATCTGACTGGTTTTTTACTCTATAATTTAGACGTACAAACGCACGGTCACTCCCTCTAAACGCACGCTCCGATCCGCGAAATACGCCGCCGACAAGTTAAGCTTGGCAAGAGGAAATTTTCACGACAACCTGCACAGACTGCATAAGACAAGCCTAGAATTTACTAGAAAACCGGATATTTGGTGAGAGTGCCCCTCACGCCGTATAAAGAGTGATGGACAGTGTTTACACACCCTACTTTCCACTGACGCATAGGTCTCGGTCTAGGACTGGTCGGTTAAATGTTGGGAGGGGGGGATTGGGGGGACTGGAATGTTTTTTGATTGGTCACTGGAAATGTATCTTTGAGAGTAGGTTTCTGACTGGTGTTTGAGTGACTGCGTGTAATGTTTAGTTAAATCTAGGCCTGATGCGCGACACGCGCGAATGCCGTAAAACACTTGACACTATTGACAGGCCTCTATAGGATTTTAAAGATTAGCCAAGTAAGCCTAATCAGCTGTACTCGAAGGATTTATAACGTACTTGTTTAACGATTCACAAGAGAAAATGTTTCTCGGGGATGATTCTGCATGAATTTACAGTCGGGGGTGCTCGCTTGGAAAGCCACGTGGCTGGTCCGTTGTCTCTGTGACCATCACCACAAAGTTTCCTCTTAGGCTATCTCTTCCCGACATTTACAGTGCATATTCATTACCTTAAGTTTGTCTTTCTTCCCACCCCCCCCTCCCCATTCAAGGCCTTTGTATTCTTAACCCCTGTCGGGGAATCCTTCACAAAACAGTCACGTGTCGTCACATTATCTGCCAAAATGACCCCCTCCTTCCAAGGGAGGTCACTAGAGTAATAAGGCAATGACATGACTGCGTCCCTTCCTCCCCTTGCTAAGGTTCATGTAAACGCACGCTCCGTGTAAACACACGCTAAGGAGCCCTCCCGAGCACCGTGCGTTTAGGCGGAGACTACTGTACTAGACTTTGTCTTCTCATTCTGCCCACATCAAAGATTAAACCCCATCTCAACCATTGATGAATGACTCGATTCACATCAGAAACTGCCTGAAAAACATCATTTGAGAAGCCTGCAATCATACACTCACATGCCCATGGTTCAGTTCAGTCTCATGTACACAAGGTTTCCTCTTGAAAACCTTAGTGAACAAACCTTCACACATCACAAAACTACAACAATCAAGAATGGGAGGTCACAAACTCATCATAGATTTATCCTTTATTAATCAAATTTTCATTCAATAACAAATACAAAATATGTCAATGAACTATCATCGTATACTTCACTCAAAAGGAGCAATGACATGTGTCTCATGCAAAAGCTACACACTATAACAATTTTGTAGATTAACAAGAGGAAAAGGGAAATGACTGGGTTGTTTCTGGTTGCCAAAGACCCCATTTCAAGGGAGACTTAAACACGATAAAGCAATTTCACGAGCTCACAGGCCTTTGACACTAATGCTTGCTTTGAGACTTTACTGGGTCCGTGCAAGTAGATACAGCATTCACAAGGACAATATTTCTTTTTGGCCAATATTCCAAACTGCAGTTGTGTACAAGTCTAGCATCTTTCAGAGCACTTACATTTTACATTATTTCAAGGAGCTAAAACTGAAATAAATAAATGCTGCTTGATAATAAATATATACTCTAAACTTTGTTCTAAAACGCATAATACAATAACATGTATTATTACCTGTCACAAAAGACTGTAGTATTCATGATATTTGGAAGGGTATGTGATCAATGCTCAACTCATCCACAGCAAACCGCAAAGCCCACTCTCACTTTGTATCATACATTATCTATGAGTAGCCAAAGCAGTCAATATCATCACAGAGTATATGAATGTGAAGAAAAGGGCTGGGCATAAAAGGCTAGGTGAAGCCCCTGCCTTGTGACACATTTGTATTGCACATTCTCTGCTATGGGTACAGATATTTATACACAGACACTTTGTCCATCCCGCTCACACACAGATGCAGACGCACGTCCTCGCCCATTATGGAATGCCTATAACCAAGGAGCTCATTTCGTTTTAGAGTTTGGAAAGTTAACACAATTCACAACAAAAGTTAGATAGATGTAGCCTGCTAGGGATCAAATACACTGTATTAGTAACCAGCAACACCCCTCTTCCCAAACAAACGCACATCAAATATCATATCAGACGTAAAACATTCAATGTAGTACCTTACAAACACATGGCATGACAAGCACAGCACACATAGGAAACCTCAAAAAAGTAAAACAACTTTTTTAGCAAATATTCGAGTAATATGAGTGTATGATGATGGAACCTACATACTATTGCATCATTGAATATGTTTGTACATGCCTGATTGGGTGAAGTAACAGTATACATTTCATACTGAATGGGATCAAAAGGGCTGCAGGGGGAGGGAGCAGGAGGAAAAGGATGAAAATATACGGAGGATTGGAAACTTGTCCAATCCACACGAACGTAATGGGAAAGGAAAGGTAGGATGAATTACATAGTCCATACGATAAGAGCACCAGATAATGGCAAAAATCCACAAGGCAATTCTGTGCACAGACGGGTACAAGAGGGTACAGATAAATAATATTTTGATGATCCAGACAAACGAACAGACTTCTGACCCACTAGGTACATCCAGGTGTTCAGTAGGACTATAGACAAAAATTGAAAAGTACTGAACTGTAAATATTAAGTCAACAATGTTTCCTAAAGTATGATAATTGCTCTTACTGAATTGAACACAGTGCTATGTGGGGAGACGGAACAGAGTGCAGAAAAAAGACCATAACTGAGGGGATCTGAACAGAGTAATAAAAGAGTGAATTGAAAAGTAAAATGACATGATTTAAACATAGAAACAAAAATCCCTGTTATATGTACCATGTATCAGTAATAGTAGGACACCAAATTTATGACAAGTTTACTTTAATCTGCAGGGTTGATGACATCTGCATTTCACAATTTTCTGTCTTGATCTAACACAAACCTTACTTCACTCAGTTTTTGTTTTTCATGCTACTTTCTGGAGAAAAGGTACAGCTCGAATCCTTACATGATATATTATTTTGACAGTTTGCACAAGAAGCAAGATCAGCTTTTTAAGACTTCAATTTGTTGAGAAAGTCTGAAAGACTCAGCTCATAACCAACTGTAAAATACAATGACAGTTTTCCGTCCCTCCTGCTTCACAAAATTTATTTCAGAACCAGATTACGGTCAAGGAAAATTTCTCTTCAGATGTGCACCGCAAACACAGCACCAGCTGAGTACGGACACGTGGGTGGCTGAAGACTGAGACGAAAAGAGATTTAGGGTCGTTCCTCAGTCACACAGTACTGTTTTTAAAAAAATAATCAAGCAAGCAAAACAGCAGTTTGAACCTTCTCACTTCCCATAAACATGCTAAAAACAAAAACCAAACTTAGAACTATGTACATGGAATGTGTAACTTCTCAGTCTTCATCAGACGAAAGCCAGTAAGAATACTTGGTTTGGGACAGAAATATGGAGCGTTTGACCAGGCCCCAATACTCAACTATTATGATGATAGACAACAACAAAAAAATGACACAAGATCTCAATCATCCAACCTGCCGGTGGATGGTTGGAGCCACCAATACATTCTATTTCTGTTTTACCATGTTAGTATTCTTTTCTGGCATTAACTATCACTTTATAATTTTTTTTTGTCCCCCCCAACTCCACACACACACACAAAATGACCAGTCATGTTTATGTAATCTTCTTTAACTTAATAACTTTTTTCTTATATATTCTTTACAAGTTAGTAAACTGATACTCAGCACATGAGAGCAGGACTTACCATTTCTGACAAGTTGTGCAACTTTGAACAACACAGGGATTACAAAATTGAAAACATTCATGTATCTTAAGACCAAATGTGCTGTCTCAGCAACATTTTCATACTCAGACTTAAACAATAAGTGTATCATAAAATGTAATAAATTCCATTTCTGAACACCTATTTAAACGAAAGAACCAACAGACCAGACTTAAAACAAAGTAAACATTCCGTTTTACTCAAGAAATATTAAAAAATCAAGGGAACAAGAAGTCATTAACTTTTTATACTTTATGCAAGACAAAAATAAAGTGGTGTCAAAGGCCTGCGACAGAGACACGCAAACACAGGGATGGCACATTGCTGTGTGAAAGGCCAACACTCTCTGCTGTTGTCTGCAGGGCTGTCTGCCCCTAGAATGAATACAACAGAATAAGAATAGAAACCATACAGGACAGGGGGGTTCATCAATGAAAAAAACCCCAAAAAAGTGGCATTCATTTTTTGCTATTTCCACAAACGACAATCAGTCATGAAAAAAAACCAAACAACCCCAAGCAGGTTCTATCATACAGTCCCAATTCTCAAGGCATGATAACAATAGTCAGCAATAGTAATATACAAAATTTCATGTACATTAGTAGTTTGTGCAATGTTTTCAGCAACCAAATTCAAAGCCCATCACTTAGCAGACTTTCATGCGGTACAAATATACTACATCACATTTTAAAAACCTCTTTGTCACAGATGTCTTTCATCAACACCATACTTTTACTTGGTGCAAGCTGAAATTGATGGCAAGAGAAAAAAATCAACAACACCGTTTCATTATTCCAGAGAGATAGAATAGAGCAAACCATAGCGAGACTGTCGACATATCTTTGGTCCTGTTTCAAACCATCACAAAATGCATTATACCAACATGTACGCCCTAAATCACGCCATGTGCAAACAAAAATATATTTTACCCGACCCCATCTGCATGATATCCTATGTAGTCTGAACTAGCACACGCATCCAATCTGTTGTAAACATTCATTTTCCCTTGGTGATCAGATAATGCTTCTCATCAAACCTCTTTCGAACCCACCTTTAATCTTTATTTGTTGTTGTGCTTTCTCCTAGCACCAAAAGTTCAATACTGTTGCAATTCGCTTTATTTCAACCTGCACAAAACCACTGCTTCATCCGTAATCTCTCCTAGCACAAACTGTATTTAAAGTAGGGAACTCAACACTGGTAAGTTGAACAAACTCATAAAGATGTAGACCAACTAAATGAGCTGTTGAGAGATATCTTAAAAGGTTTTATAATCATTATATTTAGAACAGATGTAACCATGAATTAGCAGTTCAGTCAAAACTAGTATAGAATGCTATATATAACACTACAAAGGTTATCTAAAAGGCAAGACCTCCAAACTCAACATCCATCTTTCACAGGTCAGAGCCAAGCGGTGGAAAAGCCTTGAAAATGTTACAACTATCTCACAAACATAAAAAACACTGCTGTTAGAGAAAGAAAGTCATTATGACTTTTACAACAGGAACTATAATTTCAGTTTTTTATGCGTACACTTATATACCTTATTCGAGTGCAGATATGAAAACCTTACAAATTCCCCCTAAGTTCAAGTACTATCACTCACAACAAGATTGCTATAAGAAAAAAAAAGAAAGAGAAAAACCTTCAAAATCAATTCAACAGGTCTATCACATTGCAGTAATTTCATTAATTTTAAAACATACACCTACAAAGCGATGTATTCATTATTTATCAAAAACACATATAAACGCATATTCACATAACAACGCAAAAAGGCTTTGATATTGTTAGTGAAATAAGCAAAACTGTAAGTTCAAGAAGTACTGGCCCACGCTTTTTTGTAAGTGCCTTCATCCACTAACTTTCAACTACAAAAGCAATAACAGAGATGCTCTGTTCGTACTCAAAACCGAACCAAATTTCTAGAACCTAATGTACAACACGAAACGATACCAGAAGCCTAAGACTTATGTGTTTCCTGGAAAATTAGAACTTGAACTACATGTTTTGCAATTTCACAAACGATTTATACATCACACTAAATTCAAAACTTCGCTCCATTCAAACTGAGTGGTCCTTTTGATTCCCTGGCTGGAGTGCTGGACAACGAGAAGCAACTGCTGGCGATAACAGACACAGTTGTTCTATTCTTCTAGCAACATTGATTCCAATATCTCACATCAATCAATGGCTCAGTCCAGAAAACAAGCAGTTCTTTCTCACAGATTTGACTTCTTTAGTCTTCCTTTTCTTGCAAGGCTGTGATACAATTCTTAAGTAACTGCACTTGAGCCTGTAGAGACACAGAATGAGAATGAGAGTCATACAAGCTTCATCAACCCTATGGATACTTTTGGAGAAATGCACTATTCCTCTCACTTCAGGGAATCAGGGCCACTTTTCTTTCCCACATAAAAATCCAGCCCATTGCTCATCCACAAGTTTTGGCCAAAAATAGTACAATTCTTACAAATTAATACTTTGAATTGGTTCGGACTAAGCATAAAGTCAAGTTACTGCAATGAAACAGATGGGGGGAAAAAAAGCATTCACAGGAATAACCAGACCTGCCACTCTATGAAATCTAAAAATCAGGATTTTAGAGTAAAAAAATCAGGATCTGGTGAAAAAAATCGGGATCAACGGCAAATCAGTCATAAGAGGTACTGCGGGAGGGGGTCTTGGTTCCCTTTCATGAGGCAAGTATACAAGAGAAAACTTTTGCAGGAATAAGTTCACGTTTGGGCGTCTAAATAGAGGGAAAACTGAAAGACAGCATATACGTACTCCAGTCGGAGTTGGATAGACTGGTGGAGTGCAGGATGCAGTAAAGCTGAAACTCTCATAGTTTTGAAAATAGCTGACACATAACTCTAATCATCCATGCAAAAAGCCAGCGTTTTCGTACAGTAACAACGTCTGACTTCCATCCCATATCCACTCAAGGCACCCCCCCCCCCCCCGAAAAAAAGATCGCGCCCAGGTTGTTCATTTATTTTCTTTTTTCTTATTCCTTTATCCTCAATTAGTACATGTATCATGGCACGCACAGCCCAAGTGTCCAAAAAATACCCCCACCCCCTCCCCCTGGTCGTCCACACTGTTTAAGTCCCTAAAAACACCTCGACCAATGCGAACCGTGTGAACGAACTTTGTTGACCCCGACAGCCGACGGTACCCGACACACGCGCCACTCACACATGCGAGGTCATGTCACGTGATGCGAATGAGTGTTTGAAAGTTCACTGACAGGTCTTGATGATGGGCCCGACTAACCAGAACTCAGACGAAGCGCGCTTATAAAGCGACGGCAGAACAACGAATAGATTACTCTTAAAAGCCCATGTCATAATTGTTACAATAATCAGGACACCATCGGAGAATCCTGCGTTATAAAAGCGAAAGTAGATCTTGAGCGTATCCATGTCGGAATTCAAAATCGACACTACGCCGATTTTAGTTGAAATAACGAGCGTGAGGCATCTACTAGATTCGGCATAGATGCTTTAGAAAGTAGCGTTCCAAGTTCCTGCCAATAAAAAATCCAATCCGTGCTTCCAAGCAAAAGAGATTGCAGAACTTTCTATATTTTTTTCTAAGAATGGGACACAACAGACACAACGACAAAAAATCAGGATACTGGCGATCGAAATCGGGAAAATCGGGATGCTTGAGATTTGGGGCAAAAAATCGGGATCTCCCGATTAAATCGGGAAGAGTGGCAGGTCTGAATAACCCACATATAACAGTTCAATAAAAAAACATTTGCCAAAACAAAGCACCTTCATCAAAAACAATATCCCTTGATTTCTAACCGACAAATTCTAATTTAATAGAAATTCAGCAATACCCATATCTAAAAAGCAAACATCCTCTCCCCATCATTTTATGCAAGAAAAATTCTTAAATTATGCAAACTGAGCCCAAAAATGTGAAATTATGAGATTCTGTTAATTTTAACAAAGCATGATTAAGGAAAATAATCAGAAATTAAGCAAAAAATGATCAAATTTTGCTAAATTAAACATTGCATCAAACCACGGGGATAGAACATCATTACAAAACAATAACACTTACTTTTGCATGTTTCATTTCCAACTCAACAACTTCCACTAGATGTTTTCTAAAGTATGCTATTCTCCTGGTCTTGAACTCTTGAATTTCTGTGTAAAAAACATTTTTAAAACACCCAAATGAATTGAAACATTACACCTATTGACATAAGGTAGAGTTCTCAAAGCATTGCAATTTGTCTGATCCTCTAAACAAAAGCAAAAAATATACTTGGTTTGAATCTGAATGTAGTGGTACCTACCAAAGCATCATATTTAAAATCAAAACGTGTCAGTCCATATGCAAAATATGACTAGTACAATACCGTTCATATTAACCATAATGAGGATTCAAGCTGTTGATGTGGGGTCATACTTTACTGGGAATCAGCATCATAACTAATGGCCACATTTCGCTACAAATCGTTGGGAAATAGAAGTTGAAATCTGTTCTTCTGATTAGCCATGTTTGGTTCAGAGAGATTGCTTAATTAGTGAAGAAACAAAAATTGAGGATTATATTTTCTTTTGGTTTACTACTATCTTTGGATTAACAGTGTTTGGTTTAAGCGGACTCCACTGTATTACGTGTGTCTAAGTGTGTAAGAGAAAAATGTGTGAGAACATGTGTGTATGCATGTCGTTGCCTCAGAACTATTTTGTCCAAAGTACTTAACACATTACACCCTAACTCGCCCGCGAATTCCCTTACGCGCTCCATCCTGACTCGCCTGGAACCGCCCGCGCCGACCTAGCATCTTTATAAACAAAGTCTCCCCTTGACGAGACTCCAGGGGCGAGATTTTGATTTGCATAGTTATAGCAAAAAGTTTCTTCTTTCGTTTGATACCAAAAAGAAAATTTTCGGGCCAGTAGTTTTAGTATTAGAGCTGAACGAAGTGCAATCGTGTTACCGACACTTCGAAAGTGTCTCGACTTGTTGAATAGCGACACAATTGAGTCCGAAAACGGAAATAACGATGGAGATTTGAGCAAAAACAAGCATATGACTAATCAGATGGCTCAGATTTTGATGAAAACGTTGTAGCAAGAGTTTGGGGCGATTCAGATTGATCAGACGGAGAAAATCTAGAATTTAGATCTAGGGCTCGACCGCGAGTGAGAGTGACGGGTCGGACACCCCAATTGAACTAAAGTTAGAACATTTCCAATAGTTTGCGCATACATAAAGTTATATTTTTCTGAAACTACATTCAGTTTTCTTTCTTAACTTTAATTTTTTCAGGACTTTTGGAATGTGTTTAGTATTTTTCAAATGTGTTTTTTTAACGCTTGTATTCACGGGAGGTGGGTTCCTTCCCCTTGCTTAGGATCTAACAATGGACTTCCCCTCCAGACTCTTAGGGTGTAATGTGTTAAGTACACTATGGACAAAATAGTTCTGAGGTAACGATGTGTGCGTGTATCGACGGCTTAGTGTAAGACTACAAAAAGTCCATGTTAATACGGACATATGACAGAGACTTTCACTGAGCAGTCTATATGTGTATGTGCAGTGAATCACCAAACCAATGTGCCAGAGTCTGGACAATAAAGATTACTATAATCTCATCAGAAAAAAATTACCCTTCCTGTTAAGTCAGAATTTGAGTAAAGAGAAGCACATTGTCACAATAATGGGCATTCAGCACTGATGTTGTTTTCTGTGCAGCATAGGTAGAAACAACCCTCCTCCTAAATAATGATCTAAATTGTGGATATGGAGGCAAAAGAAATTTTTAACTTTTTTTTTTTTTGGTTTAGAATTAATGGAATTTATACACGGAAACAGGTTTCATTAATTTTTTTTAAAGAAATATTTTTGACATGTTAAGCCTGCTATCTGTTACAAATGAACTTTTCAAAGGCTTCTGTAACGTAAACTAATTAGAACACTCCAGACAGCTACAGACTCATCCAATTGGGACCTGCATTTACCTTTTTTGGCCACTTCAGATATTCTTTCAAATTTCTTGCAGCAATTTTCTTGACACTTCTCCGCCTAACAAAAAGAAAGAGATAGATACCGATCTTCAGATCTACTAACTATGCATTAAAAATTAACACATTAAAGCAAAGAATTTTATACATCTTTGTATGATGTTTGAAATCAGGAAACATGTAAGGAACTCAAAAATCGAAACATACATTTTATAATATGTGGTACTCTTTCAACAATACACAAAACGAGTCACACTTATTCACAGTATACATTCCATTTGCTAAACAAGTAAACTGTAAACCAACTGAAAGTAGTTAATAATCAGAACTAAGTAATTTTCAAATCTCAAACAAACAAATCGTTTATTACTTGGAATTAATCTTAATCAAACCCCCCCCCCCCCCACACTGACCCCTGAAAATTTAAAGAAGCTTTTCAAAAAGTCCCAATTAAACGATTTAATACAAATACAACCAATTAAAAAAAAAAAAACATGTCTAACAGTATACCCTGCGCAGCCAGAATCGAGCCAAACAAAACGGAAGCAATGCCGAATAGGATATTCAGAGATTAAATCAATCTTGTTCAACAGTTAACAGTTCTGAAAGGTATGTCAATATGTTTGATGTCCGACTAGTACTTATTGCTAACATGATAAGCTCCCCTCGAGCATGTTGGAAATAGATGTGTTTTTCTTAAAAAAAAATTAAAAAATGCTTAGAAAAGTGGGCCGGTTTTAGAGTCATGGTAAACCCCCCGTATCATACTTGATGTCATGCTACAGATGAGTATATACAATAGTCTCTAATACAACAAGGTGCATATATGCAGTAGTCTCTAATTCAAGAAGATGGTTGTGGGTGGTTGGTGGGTGCTCTGGTGTGGTTTGCTCTTTCTTTCCTATAAAAAAACTAATGTCTTTATCTTTCCTCCTTCTTTATTGTGTTTGTTACTCTCTTGCAACACCTCTAATCTTCAGCACTTATACGATCTAATTGTGTTGAAAGTACCGTAAAACGTTTTCTAAAAAAACAATAAGGTGCCTTCTGTCGCAATTCCACCACACAAGTTGACTTTGGCTAATATCACACTGCACTTTAAAAAAATCAAAGACATACCGCAGCAACTTCCTTGTTCTTCGTCCTCGCCTTCTCCAAAGCTTTGTTGGCGTTCTCGTAGTCCACCAGCGACCTCATCCGGCGGTACAGTAAATCTTTGGCTGCAACAGAGTCTCTCATGTAGTACCTCAACGTGTCACTCAGCTTCAAGTCTTCATCAGAGGCCACTCTGCCTTCCAGTTTCTGAAAGTCATGCAAATATGCAAGGTTTAGTATCTTAGTATCAATTTTTGTGTCGGTCCCAAAATCTCTCAGAACTTTGCCTACGAGTAAAAAAAATATGAAGCAAAGTGGCAGTAAGAAAAATGAAGCAAAAAAGAAAGAAGGCCATAGATGTACATAAATCATTTTGTTATTTGTGGGCTGCACGTCAAGCTGGGATTCAGTAGGTCCATTCCTTTCTCTTCAACCATACCTGCCACTGTATGAAATCTAAAAATCAGGATTTCAGAGCAAAAAAATCAGGATCTGGTGAAAAAAATAGGGATCAACGGCAAATCAGTCATAAGGGGAACTGCAGGGGGGGGGGGGTAAGTATGCAAGACAAAACTTTTGCAGGAATAAATTCACATTTGAACCTGTAAGTAGAGGAAAAAACTGATAGAGAGCATGTACTCGAGTTTAGAGTTGGATAGACTGGGGGGACCACAGGTTGCAGTAATGCTGACTCTCGTAGTCTTGGAAATAGCTTACACATTACTCGATTCATCCAAGCAAAAGACACTTGTTTTGATGCAGTAACAATGTATGACTTTGATTGTATACTCAAGGCAAATCGTGTCAAGGTTGTTCATTTATTATTTTTTTCTTATTCCCTTATCCTCAAATAGTACATGTATCACGGCAAGCACTTAAAGCGTAAGTGTAAAAAAAAATACCCTCACCCCCTCCCTCCCCCTGGTCGTCCCATACTGGATAAGTCCCGAAAAAACACCTCGACTAATGCAACCAGTGTGAATGAACTTTGTTGATCCCGACAGCTGACAGTCCCCAACACAAAGGCTACTCACACTTACGAAGTCATGTCAAGTGATATGAACGAGCGTTTGAAAGTTCCGACAGGTCTTAATGATGAGCCCGACTAACCATAACTCAGACGAAGCTTTCTAAGAATCGGACGCAACAGACAAAAATATCCAGGATACTGGCGATCGAAATCGGGAAAATTCGGAATCTTGAGATTTGGGGCAAAAAGTCGGGATATTCCGATTAAATTGGGATGAGTGGTAGGTCTGCTTCAACCCACCCAGAAAGGACAGAGCACAGAGTTAAGTAAACCCTATGGTAAGTTAATTAACAATATTCAACATTTATAATTTTGCACATTACAACTTTAAATTAGAAAAAAGAAAACCAGATTCCAGGACAGCTCCTTCCAATCATTTGTACATGCATACTAGACACACTTTTAAACACTTCTTACAGCACTCAAAGATTCCCCATGTTCACAATTTATCCTTAGCTGCCCACACATAAGGATTCCCTGTTCACAGTTATACCTCTAAAAACAACTGTTACATTTTTATGCTTGATATGTGACAAAATCTTTTTCTCAACTTACCCTAGCTTTCTCAAGGGCTTCTGCAACTTTGCTGAATACTCTGCAAAATAGTTCAAAGAATTTTTAATTGAAAGACAAGCCTGAGAAACTATTACAAAGAAGTACAAAATTATAATCAAAACAATGTCAACCACGGGCAACATTTTCTGTGGATGGAAATTTTTTTTTTTTGCCGAGATAAGCATTGCCATATGGAAATAATAATATGTCCATGTAAAAAATGTTTAAATGCATGCAAAGAACACCACTCAAGCTAAAGTAAACATTATCAGGCATTGTAGACAAATAAATTGACCAAAAACTGCTATGGGATCTTGGCAACAGCCACTACCTCACCTTTTTACCCCCTTTGTTCAAATCTCTGATTAAACCATATCCAACCTCAGCCTATAAATACAAAAAGTTTACATTTAAACCTCTTTTCAGGTAACCAGTTCAGAAATCCCACTTGAATAAAGGAACTGAACATCAGAAAGCCTCATGTCCAAACCATAAGCAATGAAAATGCCCTCTGACAATGGAAAATTACGTAACAAAATCCCAGGTCCATCTGCTGTACTCTGAAACAGGCACTTTATCATTTTCCAACACCTGTTTTCTGCTAGACACACAGACACACAGAACTATACATGATGGGGGGGGGGGGGGGGGGGGGGGGAATTATATTAGTTATATATGTGAAGCTAGCTGACCTGTCAAGTTCAGTATTTTCAATAGTTGCTAGTTGAACCAGTCCAGTTGAAATCTGGATGTATGAGTCAGCCACATCTGAAAAAAAAAGGCAAATAAAATAATTTTCAGCTAAAAATTTAAACATAGTAACGCTATGTACATTGAAAACAGCAGACTTCCACCACAGATGAGTAGCTAGGTACTTTATGCCAAATCACTGCCACTGTTAGGTAGGTACAAAGGAGGACAAAAGTAAAACTGCAAGGAAGGAGGAAGGGCAGGGAGAACAACAGAGTTCATTGACTGACTGACTTCAGTACCGAATTTGGCTATGAACATCTTGGACAGCGTCAGTACAATAACCCAAAAAATCAAGGGGGTAGGAAGAAGTAGGGAAGTGGCCCTTTGTACAGGTGACTGTTAGAGCAGGTCTGACTGTTTTGTTTGTTTAGTATAGGGTTTTACGGCGCTCGCAACTGCATACGGTCATATGAGCGCGCGGGACACACCTAATACTTTTTCGTTGGTAGGAAATTTTGAATTTTGCCCGGGTGGCGGCCGAAGCCTACTCTTATCGATTTTAGACCACCAAGGGATCTTTAACGTGCGCAACTTGCACACGGGCCCTCCGAGATTTTTCGCCCTTGTCCGAGAAGGCTAGGTGTAGATCTTTCCTACCAGAAGATCAGGGGTGTGGCAGAAAGACAGCAGTTAGGAGGAGCCAAGGAGTAGCAGTAGAAAGGCTGCAGAAAGAGTCAGGAGCCCAGAGGAGGGGGCAAAGGAGGTGAGGGGGTGGGGGCAGAAAGTGGAAATGAAAGCAGACAACAGAACATTGTTAGAGATCAGGAAAGGATGTGAAAGGAGACAATTTTAGAGAAGAAAATTTTTTGGTCGCTACCCGGAATCGAACCCGGGACCTTTGAATGAGAGGCCAACACCTTAACCTCTAGGCCACGAGAGCCCCCCGGTCTGACTGTGATTTGATTTGAAGCATACAAATATTTAAACAAATTAACACAAGCAAAGATGATTACTAAACACAACGACACACCGACACTCACTCTTGTGGACTTTGGTCATTCTGTCTGACTTCCCTGTAGCATCCTTGATCTTGTTGTGGTACTCCACCAGAAAAACTCTCTCAGACTCAAAGAATTCATCCACATCCTGAAACAAATGAAAAAAAAAAGGTTTTTAAAAAAAAAATTTCAAGATATCTTCAAGGCCTGGCATAGGGAATAAAGGAAAATCTGACAAAGCGAGTATTCGACATGTCAAGCAGGGATAACGAAAGTAATTACACCATCATGACTACCAAGGTTTGTATGTATGTATGTATGTAGTATAGGGTTTACGGCGCTCGCAACTGCTAAGGTCATATGAGCGCGCTACCAAGGTTTAAGGCTTGTAGGTCTCATTGACTACTTGATGAACAAACATTACTTGAAGGTTTTCATAGAAGATCTCAAGACAGCCAAACGCATTTTGCAACATACAATGTGATACAACTACTATATCAGCATTAATCTGTACATGTCTCAAGACATGAACATACCATCCTTTTATTGGTTAAAGTTTACTATGCTGCTGTTGTTGTTATATATAGGTCTAATGCTACATAAAGATATGTAAAAAGGTCGCATGATCTTTGACAGGACATTGAATGCAATTAAACATTTGTGAAGGGTGCTGACAAAATGAATTGCTTCTCGGATTCGAGACCTATGGATATAGATATGTCATGCTTACAGGTGAAGATTTTACACTTTATATGTATGAAATAATGAAAGGTCTATTATACTTAAAGAATACGGCTTCAATAAAAAAAATCTACAAATTTGACTGTAGTATCGATTTTTGGCCAATATCTCCATTTGTGGATTGCGGGAAGTAACTCATTTAATCAGCATGCCTCACATTTGTGTTTAGCTGCAGAGGAAAAACAGAAAGTCAAAGTTTATGATAAAAACACATATGCTTAACTTCCTAAGCTGGTCATTCACAAACTCAGTGCCTCTAATCAGAAGAAATTTTGTTTGTTTGTTTGTTTTTGTAAGTGTTTTACGGCGCTCGCAACTGCATAAGGTCATATGAGCGCGCGGGACACACTAAACTTTTTCAGTTGGTAGGAAATTTTGAATTTTGCTCGGGTGGCGGCCGAAGCCTACTCTTATCGATTTTAGACCACCAAGGGATCTTTAACGTGCACAACTTGCACACGGGACCTCCGATATTTTTCGCCCTTGTCCGAGAAGGCTAGGTGTAGATCTTTCCTACCAGAAGATCAGGGGTGTGGCTGAAAGACAGCAGTAAGAAGAAGCCAATGAGTAGCAGTAGAAAGGCTGCAGAAAGAATCAGGAGCCCAGAGGAGGGGGCAAAGGAGGTGAGGGGGTGGGGGCAGACAGAGGAGACGAAACAGACGACACAACATTGCTAGAGAGTAGGAAAGGAGGTGAAAGGAGACAAATTTAGAGAAGAAAATTTTTTTGGTCGCTACCCGGATTCGAACCCGGGACCTTTGAATGAGAGGCGAACACCTTAACCTCTAGGCCACGAGAGCCCCCCGAAGAAATTTTTAAAAATTAAAAAATACAGGAACAAAAAAGAGAAAGCAATCCATTCCACAGACCTTTTGTCCAGAGATCATGACTTCATCTGCAGACTTGGTAATGCTTTTGAAGAATCCTCCAAGCTTTTCCTTTTTGTTTTTGCCTCTCACACTCATCTGTGAACGACATAAAGAAAATTTGTTAGTGATGGCAGTTGAAAAAAACAAACCCACATGAATAAAAACAAAAGTATAGTTCATACTTTAATTCATCAGGTCAGTTCTGTTTCTGAAGAATATGAAACATTAAGTATTTAAGTTTTCAATACCATAGGGTCATTTTTAGAGACTAAATATTAGCCACAACATAGGCTACTAAAACTTTTTAACTTTTTAAAGTCAACGTCGAATTTTCCAACACAAAAACAATCCTGGGCATTGACACTTTGAAACTAAGTGGACAACAACTTTACCAGACATTCATTTTCAATAGTTTAGTATCAACAAATCTATTATAAATATTTAAGAATATATACTGAGGGTAAACTATTAAAAAAACAATATAATGTAAAAATTATTACCTGGACTCAGTTCGAGGGTTACTTCTACAAATCATTTCTTTTCTTAGTGAGTAGAGACTTTCTAACATCACATATTGCCAAACAGAACTCATTGATTACTTTAAGACTTTTCTGGCTTGACCCTAACTTCATTTTTCACTAAACTAACAAATTACAAACTCATGACACAAAATTAGAAAACCCAACAAAAGTTTAGTTGAAAGTCTTACATCTCCACTGAACTCAAGGAAGACTTCAAAGTTGACATCGTGCCTGAGGACGGGATGAGCCGCCAGCCTCTGCAGGAACACCTCGTGCATGGCAACGGTCTTTTTGAAGGTTGCCAGATACTCTCTGGGGAAAGAGAAATCCACCAGCCATTTAACAAATATGAACTTAGAAAAGAGGCAGTAAAAACGATTCTAAAATATTCAGGTGACATGTTAAAATTAAATGTACCAAAAGAAATCACCATGATGAAAGAAGGATACAAAATAACTCAACATCTCTAAAAAATATAACAAATTTAATCAGTTTTAACTAAGAAGAATCAAGCTCGTCTAGACATATATACAGCATACGCACAGCCCAAAACAATAAAAATTCTTTCAAAGAAAAGAAAACAAAATCCCAAACATGAGCTCATAGCTGCTCCTGCACTAAACAATGAGGCAAAACTTTCCTGGATTGAGCATGTACTTCAAGAAAATTTACAGAGACATGTTAACACATATTTTAAGTAGCGATACTGAATCACATTTTGTATGAGGGAAGCAGAATGCATACTCACGCTTCAAGCTCTTGCTTCATTTTTGTGAATTCTTCCTTTGTCATCGTTCCCTCTCCTTCTCCAAGTCTTTGAAGTTTCTCTCGAGAGGCATCGAAGTCCGGTTTTGGCGGTGCAGGGGGTATCTAGGCATGGAGTAAAAATAGATATATCAAACTTGAGTGCATAAGTGGGTTGTAGTCTACAACAAGTCAGCATGAGACAAGTACCACATTTTGACAAGCAACAGATTTGATTAGAAAAATAACAGAACCCCCCAAATCTCTAATCCCTTTGCGTCCACGTCTTCCTTCTCCTCCTCCCCACTCACATAAGATTGAAAGAATCCAGAAAAGCCGCCTTCTTGGGGAGGACAAAGCCCATTCCTCCAGTGTTGAAGACCTCCTCAGCCAAGGCGTAGGTCTCGCAGTCGTTGAGAAGGACGTATTCCAGCTGAGATTTGTCCGTCATGTAGGCGGTGTCGCCCTCCAACACGTATTGGAGGGCTTCTTCGTTACTGGTGACCACAGGCATAGAGCCCATCTTGCGCCAAACATCCTTGTAAATCTCATGTGTGGCCTCCTGTATTTTGCGTGGAACGGACCAATAGATAAAAGTAATCTGGTCAGATTTCCATTAATGAATAATGGAAAGGTTTGGTTTGTTCTAGAACTAAAAGGTAAGGAAAACTCAATAGATTTGTTGAGCAGGTAGGAATCCATCAATGAAATGGATTCTCTCTCTCCCTCTCTTTCTCTCTCTCTCTCTCTCT